ACCACGTGACGCGAAGTGTTATGCTATCGTGGTACCCAAGCAGTCAGGCTCTCATACGCCAGCTGCGAAGCTCAATCAAGTAAAATTGACGGCCGTATTTCGTGCCAGCAAAAAACAAATCCCATATGTCAGAAGGTGAACAAATTTTACTCGGGGCACTCATGTTGTCTCCCAGAACGAACGTCTACTCTTAATACGCGCACTTGATGTCCGAATAATCTTTACTTGGAACGCATGTAGACCCCCATTGTCGGTTCAAGCTGGCTGGATGAAATTGGTAGCGATTGGGAGTTTGGCCGGTTGTGAAACGGCCGGTCTAAATGAAATCGGTACAAGTCGGTCGGAATTGGTCCGACAAGCGGCTCGAAACGGCCCCCCTCCCCCTCCTCCAAGCCGAGTGTTGATCGCTGATGCTGCTCTAATATTATCCTACCGTAACTGGATCCAACCGTATTAACATCCTAACTGAACCCGGTCCAAGGCCCAACTTTTGTATAATCCTGACCCAGCACTGGTTGAAACCGATTAGGGATCTACTAAAATCCGACGGGACAACGATTAACTTTAATAGCACCCTAGCCGGGCGCGGTCCAACTCTGATAGAATCCTAACCCCGCTCGAATTGAACCCTGCTAGAACTCAATCCAGCTCTGATAGAATCCTACTACAGCTGGGGTCGGTTTGAATCATATCCTTCTCGGGTTCGATCGAAATGTAAGCCAACTCAAATAGCATCGAACGATCACTATAAACAGCTCTTCTCAAATCCTACTGGGCCTCGGTCCAGCCTTCATCGCACACTACTAAAGCTCGATCGTCGTCGTTGGTTGCCACTAGGGAAGGACGCCCCCACCCTGGTTCGACCCCGCCCTGGAAATCGGGGGGGGGAGGGGAATCCCCCCCCAGTTCGACCCCCCGTCGCCCCTGCCAGCATCCACAGAACGCGCCTACCCGACCTAGATGTCAGGAGAGGCCAAGACAATGAGGCCCATCCCGAGCCCAAAGCGGTCCTGATTTCAGCGTTTTGACTGCATGCGGAAACTTAACCAAGCTGGTCATATCGGGCCGTTGGGCTGCAAGTCTGACGTGACTCCGATTTCACTACGGGTTCTATGCTGCCTCTAGCCCATACGTCGTTCTGATCCAAAGCTGGCAAAATAGAACAACTACCGAATTCATGGACTCACCGAGGAGGGGGAGGGAGACGGATTAGCAGGAGAAGGACGACGACACAGGGAGGACGGAGACAGGAGGAGGATAGGCAGAAGAAGGGGCAGAAGGGAGAAGGGAGAGAGGAGGGAGGAAGAGGGTGAGGAGGAGGGACGGAGAAGGGAGGTAAACGAGAGGGAGAAAGAGGGTGAAAAGAAAGAGGGAGGAGGATGAGGAGGAGGAGGAGGAGGAGGACGAGGAGGAGGAGGACGAGGAGGAGGAGGAAGGGAGGAGGAAGAGGAGGCTGAGGAGGAGGAGGAGGAGGACGAGGAGGAGAAGGAGGAGGAGGGGGAGGAGGAGGACGAGGAGAGGAGGAGGAGGAGGAGGAGGAGAAGGAGGAGGAGGAGGAGGAGCAGGGGGAGGAGGAGAAAGGAGGAGGAGGAGGAGCAGGAGGAGAAGGAGGAGGAGGAGGAGGAGGAGGGGAGGAGGAGGAGGAGGAGAAGAGGAGGAGGACGAGAAGAGGAGGAGGAGGAAAGCCACCGAGCCCCGCGCGGAGCCTCCCGCCGCGAGCGCGGCCGCCGGCGCGCGCCCGGGGGGCGCCGCGGAGGGCGCCGCGCGCATGCCGAGCCGCGGGGCTCGAGGCGGGTGCGGCCACCGAGGGAGGGCGCCTTCGGGGTTCGGAGGGCGGGGCCCTTTCGGCGGCGAGCGAGCGATGTGGACGCCCACAATGGGCACGGACAAAAATGGGCACGATGACCAACAGCAAATGTTGCCCCGAAGCAACAGCGGCCGCTACTTGGCAGGCGGCCTCCTGTCTCGAATGGCCACAGGCCGCGGCGGCGCGGACAGCGAGTCCTGTGCCAGATGAACAGGAGCTGCTGCTGGGCATTGTGCCCATTCTTTCCGTACCCATTTCGGGCGTCCAGAAGCGAGGGGGGGGAAGTGAGCAGGAGAAGGCCTTCTCAGAAGGTTCGGAAGTTCCCCCGGCCTTCTGGAAAGTTTTCTCTACGCCTTCCCCGAAGACAGAAAACACTTCTCAGAAGGCGCGAGTGCTGCTGAGAAGTCCCGCCACCTTCGGAGAAGGCCTTCTCCTTCTCATGTCCCCCCTCGCTCGCAGCCGAACCTTAGTGGAAGAAGAGCAAAGCGGCATCAACATAAGTTTTTGGCGCTCCACGCGGATTTCTTGGATCTGCACTGGGCCCACCTCCCTGGCGCGCAAAGCACGCCAGGGGCGGCGCTGGAGGAGCCACCAAGGGGCCCAGAGCAGATCCAAGAAGTGTGCGCGGAGCGCCGAAAACTTGTGGTTTTAGTGACAACAAAAAAAGGAAGTGAAGACGAGGATAAATTCGGAGGATGGTAAACCGATAATCTCTGAGACCTGGCGGCTCTGGAAGATGTATCGGGCGGCCTTCTCACAGCGTTCCAGAGCACTCTGAGATCCTTCGGAACGCCAAAAGAGCGTGCGCTCTGGAACGGATTGTTCCCCGCCCTAGCCCCGTTCGAGGAGGGCGTCTGCGAGGTTCGGGGGGCGGGGTCTTGGAGGCATTCGGTTTTGCAGTCGTGATCCTCGCCGTCGCCAGAAGTCGCTCTGTCGCGCATTACTGCCGGCGCCAGCGGTGATCCACATCGTCGTCTTGCCATGCAAGCTCAGCATAGGTACAGTCGGCCTTGATTGGACAGGACACGCGAGAGGACACAAGACCCTTCCGAGGGCCACATCGCCATAGGAGTGTACCAAGGCACGTGTCGCGAGGCACAGGACACAAGGGTACCCTTGAGCTGGCAGGGTCGACCTACTGATCCGGGCCGACTGTAGGCATCGTCCTTGTGATGGGCCCGTCACAAGAGCTGCTCGACTGAGAGCAGGACCCCTGAGCTCTCAGGACTCCTCCGACGAGGTCGTTCTCAGACTCATCCTGTCGCTCCAGCAGCAGGCGGATGCGGTCTCCGAGGTCCGAGGCTCGATCGAGGTGCTCCAAGGCCGTCGGGGCCCGCGGGGGCCTCGGGGCGGGGGGCCGAGGCCTTGGAGGACCGGGGCCTTCGAGGATCCACGATCCGTCTTCGTTGGTCGAGAGCTCGGGGCTCAGAGACTCCGGAGGATGGAGGTTTTCGCACGCGTTTGGCCCTTGGCGTCTTCGGGGTTCGATGGTCGGGGTCTTGGGGGCACAGGAGGTAGGCGGAGAAAGAACTCCTACGGTACGCAATCCAGCGGCATACGCGACGTGGGTCTGCAGCTCCCCACGGCGCTCACAGAATTCTCCGGGTCCCAGGGGCCGGGGGAGACGAACTGTCCGTGGGGCACACGCAAGAAGGCCTGTTTCTTGTTGGACGTGCGGACGGTGGCCGGCATCCGGTCGTCCAGGCTCAGGGGCCGATCGAGATCTGCGAGGTCTGCGGGGTCTTCGAGGAAGCAGAGCGGAGCGAAGCGAACGCCGGCGTCGTGCGCGCTCGTCCGGGGAGCCCGCCCGTGCCCCGTCGGACAGGGGGTCTGCGCTGAGTGGGCCCCGCAAGAATCGGCCAAGAGGGGGGAAGAAGGCCTCATCCGCTCAAAAATTCGGTCCCCGGACCCCCCAGGGGTCGAAACCGACTCATTGTTCGAGCCACGTTCAGTCGTGGCGACAAGGCCACGTTCTCCCCCCTGCCTGCTGGCCGGAACCCGTGCTGGGCCACTTCAGCCCCCCAGCCGACTCCAAGCCATCATCCTCCCCTAATCGTCCCTGTCTTGTTCCCCAGACCCACGACGTCGTTACTTCATGTTGAAACCCCCAGAGGTCTCGACCCCTTCCCCGGGACCAGTGTCCCTGAATAATGTGTTGAAGGTCCCGAGGTCAGCGTAGGCCCCCAGAGGCCGAACACTCCCAACCCACCCGTCGTGATTTTCCACGACTCCAGGGGGTCTGGGCCCCCCGTCTCCCCCCCGCTTGAGCATGACTCGACCGTCCCGGCATACCAATAGTCCTACCACGAAATGTTCTGAGAACCCAACAATGGTCTAAGAACAACAATTATCCCAGTGCGACCCTACCTAGGAGTTGGAACCCCTAGGAAAGCAGCATTAGTCGTAACAGTAACGCTAAGCTAAAGCTAAGCTAAAGCTAAGCTAAAGCTAAATCACAGCTAAGCTAAAGCTAAATCACAGCTAAGCTAAAGCTAAGCTAAAGCTAAGCTAAAGCTAAGCTAAGTCTAAGCTAAAGCTAAGCTAAAGCTGAGCTAACGCTAAGCTAAAGCTAAGCTAACGCTAAGCTAAAGCTAAGCTAAAGCTAAGCTAAAGCTAAGCTAAGCTAAAGCTAAGCTATAGCTAAGCTATAGCTAAGCTATAGCTAAGCTATAGCTAAGCTATAGCTAAGCTATAGCTAAGCTATAGCTAAGCTATAGCTAAGCTGCAACTAAGCTCAAGCTAAGCTACAACTAAGCTCAAGCTAAGCTAAAGCTAAGCTAAAGGCTAAGCTAAAAGCTAAGCGAACAGCTAAGCGAAACGCTAAGCTAAAGCTAAGCTACAGCTAAGCTAAAGCTAAGCTAAAGCTAAAGCTAAAACTCCCAGGGGACTGGGGGGAACCGCTCCCAGGGGACTGGGGGAACCGCCGGGGCGGTGTGCACTGCCCGGCCCCTTTAAGCTAAGAGAGTAAGAACCCTTTTAGGCAGAGCCTAGGTAGGGAACAATGTTCTTAGAACATAAACCCGATGCGTTAAAACAAGACAGTCCCAGCCAGAACTGTTCTACGAAGATTTCGCGCAGACCACAACGGGTTCTTAGACCATTCTCTGGTGGGGCTGTAGAGGCACGCCGGGACGCTTCGCCACTGCGTGACCCGCGACGGGGCGCGCGTCGAGGGCGCCCCCCCGGCCAGCTCCTCCGCGCGAGCGCCGTCACCTGCCCCGAGCGCAGGTAGTACTGCCAGGGCGCGGCCACCTCCGCAGAGCTCGGGCCCCCCTCCGCTCGGAGCAGCGGCTCAGCGAGGACCGCGGCCTCTTCCAGGATCCCCAGGGCCCCGGAGGCTCGAGTGCCGGGCAGCTCTCGAGGTTCGCGAGGAGCGAGGCCCTCGAAGGCCGACAGCTTCCAGGCTCGACGCTTGCGAGCATCGGGGTCTTCCTCCTCGTCCTCCTCCTCCTCCTCCTTCTCCTCCTCCACCTCCTCTGGGAAGGATCTGGGATGGAAACTCGAGGATCGGGGCGTGCGGGCATTTCCGGTCCCTGGCTAGGCACCTCCATGGCGCCCCCGGGGACCTCCTCCCTCTGGAAGGGGACAGTCAAAGGGCAAGGCCAGGCCCATCCTCAGCCCAGGACAGGCCGCCCTCCCTCTCGTCCACTTCGAGAAAAAACGGGGAGGACGTTTTGGGTCATCAGGGGTCCTGCCCGCTTCTGGGGGGTCACGATGCACGGGGAAGGAAGAGGAGAAGGAGACGAGGCAGCAGGCAGTCAGGATCATTTGCTCGGCGAGTCGCGGCGGCGGCCCCGGCGACACGCTACGACTTGCAAGCGGATGGTCGCTCCGCTCCACGGGGCGCGAGGCTGGGAAAGGCTCAGGACTTTTATGCTTGGGAACTGAGGAGTGGTTGGCGTGTCGCTCCGATGCGTGATGGGCCGTAGCCAGCGGCGCGACCCGCGAAGCAAACGCTCCTGACCTCCCTCCACCAGAAGGAGGACCAGGGGGGGAAGACACACACACACACACACACACACACTAACACCATGTTTGAAGACTATCGGCAGTTGCGTGTTTCGCTCGCTTCCCCTCCAGGCTCCAGCTAAGAAATGGAATAACGACGTGCGCGCGCCTGGGGTCTCAAGCCTGTCAGGGAAAATTCGCTCACTCGCTCCAGCCCGCAACGGAAATATCAACTGTCATCCGCCACCGTCCCCCCTGGCGCGCTCTGGCCTTCTAGAATGCCAAGTGCTGCCTGGCAGATTTCTCTTGCTCTGATAAGGGCCCCCCCTCCTTTAACCAAGGACTGGTGCGTGCATCGCCCTTACTCCCGAGGTCACGATCCCTCGTACCAAAAGAACGAATCCGCCTGCCCAAGGCCACGATCCGTCGTACGAGAACAATGCGCGCGCGTCCGGCACCGTCAGGGTAGGCAACCACGGCAACCGAGATGGCCCAAGATTCCCCGAATACGTCCCAACATGGCCCCACGTCGGCCCAATATGGCTTCAAGACGGCCCAGGATGCTTCCAAGAGAGTTACAAGAGGACCTCCAACATGGTCCAGAGAAACCGAAACCATTGCATTCCGCCAAATTGTTATATGATTTTCGCATTCTCGCCTTTACGGGCTACCGTCACGTAGCCTCCACGATGGCTCCAAGACGGCCTAAGAAGCACCCGAAAGGGTCCCAAATGGTCTGAGAGGACTCCACGATGGCCCAAGAGGTATCCAAAATGGATGTAAGACGGCCCAGGAGGGCCTCACGTGGGATCCAAGGTGGCTTTGGAAGGCCCTTTGACGGCCGAAGAGGGCCTACGACGGCCCTCCGGCCCCCAGACACCCACCATACAGACAAAATGGCTCAAGATGGCTCAAGAGAGCCACTAGACGGCCTAAGGAGACCCCTCTCATCTTCCGCCTCGTCATCTTCATCCTTAACATCCTCATACACCGCATTATCAACATCGCAACTCCCCCAAGCCTGGAGAGTCCAGGTGTCACACGTGACGGCCTCCCGTGCCACCTCGAACAATCGCCACACAAAATTAGCCTGACGAAGGACCCAACCATGTGCAATTGCGAGTACCGCATTGTGGGTACCGGTTTCGGTGGAGCTCCTATGGGGCCACGAAACTTGTGAGGGGTGCGCCGAAATTGGTGGCGCGGACGCATGTGGACACCGCCACTGGGGCCTTCGGTGTAGCTCCCTATGGGGCCATGAAGCGCTGCCCTGGGCGAGGGAGACGCATGCGAACTGCGCCATTGCGACCTTCGCTGGATCTCCTTATGGGGCCACGAAGAGCTGTCATGGGCGGGGGAGACGCATGCGAACTGCGCCTCTGGCGCCTTCGGTGGAACTCCCTATGGGGCTACGAAACGTTGTCCTGGGTGGGAGAGACAAATGCGAACACCCCGATTGAGGCCTTCGGTGGAGCTCTTTGAATGGCCACGAAGCGCTGTCCTGGGCAGGGGAGACGCATGCGAACACCCCCACTGGGGCCTTCGGTGGAGCTCCCTATGGGGCCACGAAGCGCTGCCCTGGGCCGGGGAACCGCACGCGCCCCCCCCCCACTGGGACCTTCGGTGGAGCTCCCTATGGGGCCACGAAACGCTGCCCTGGGTGGGGGAACCGCATGCGCCCCCCCCACTTGGGCCTTCGGTGGAGCTCCCTGTGGGGCCACGAAACGCTGCCCTGGGTGGGGGAACCGCATGCGCCCCCCACACTGGGACCTTCGGTGGAGCTCCCTATGGGGCTACGAAACGTGTGAGAGGTGTGCCGAGAGCAGAGGCAAGGAGGGGGAGGAGGGAGGAGGGGGAGGAGAGAAGGAAGGAAGGAAGAAAGGAAGGAAGGAAGGAGGAACGCGGGGCGGGGCATCGGCACTGTTTGGGCCTGTCGGCAACGGTATGCAGGGTATGCGAGGCAAGTCGGGAACCCTTTTCTTTAATAAATCTAACAAGCCTCATCCTGCCGGATGGGGAGCCACATCCCGAACATTCGATGTCGTAATGATTCACGGCGGGGCCCCCAGAAGACCCGACCCTTTCCCCAGGGACCGCGCTTCATCCCAAATAGTTGCTTGACTGAATCAGGGCCGCGAGGTCTCCCAGCGGCCGAAAACGTGACACACCGTCGGTCGTGACATCTTTCACGACGCGAGCATGATTAGGACACGCTGAAAACCCACAATTGCTGCGGACAAACGTCCAGTCCTGAGATGCCTGGCCAGAACAAGGCGGGCGCGGCCGCGGCCACGATGCACGGGGAAGGCGAGGGCTGGGCATCCTTGCAGGCTTCTCAAAGAGATTATCGACGGGGTGGGGAGGTAACAAACGAGGCCTCCCAAATGGGGCCCGAGTTTTTGACTGGGGTCGGAGGACCGCGCAGCATCGCCGATGCATCGTCGATGCATCGGTGATGATCAGCGACGTCGGCGATGCATCGCCGACGTTGGCGTGGAGAAGATCGCGCTACACAGAAAGCCGCATCGCCTTTGCAGCAGCAGTACGGAGAGACTCTCCGACCCCATCCTCTCGGAGCCCCTTTGGGAAGCCTTGGAATCAGGATACTCCAGATATCGTACTAAGAGGGAGGGGGTCTGGACCCTCGAAGACAAGCCATTTCAGACCCACCCCGTGGGAGAACCATCCAAAACATCGTCCCCAGACCCCCCCAGGCCCTCCAAGATAGCTTGGAGGAGACCCCCCCCCGAAATGAGACCCCCCTCCCTTTATTACGAAATCTGGAGTGACAAGAGCAAGAAGGCAACCGCTGCGGACGAGCGACCAAGCCTGGCGGCCCAGCCAAGACTGCGTCGGGGAGGCCGTGGCTGCGACGCAGGACGGGACAGGCGAGGTCTGCATACAACTCGCTAAATTCCCTGACTCAAGAGCCCAATCGGCCTTATGTAACGAATGCAGCGCCCTCGAATGCGCGAAATGTGGTGTCTCGAATTGCGGTTGCGAATTGTTTCTCGATTCGATATTATACCGCGTCCTGGTCACATGAGCTGCCCATGTCTTCCATCGACACTGCCGCTGCTCAATATGTTCACACATAAGGTTTAACACCGTTTCGGGCGCCTCTTATTATTTCAACCCGCCAAACCATTATGAGAGTGAAGGGGGCGAACGGTATCATACTGTCCCTGGATGTGTGGGCGAGCTGGGACTCCATGGCTCGGGTTATGTTTGTTGTTGATGTGTGTCGTCGTCGACATTGTTGATGGTGCTCTTGTTATTGTGGTCGAAGTTGTTGCTGCTGCTGCTGCTGTTGGTGCTGATGTTGTTGTAGTTGTTGTTGAACTCCCACTACTGAAAACATAAATATTGCTGCTCCCGCCCTCCGGTAACGCTTGTGTGCTTCAATTGAAGTTCCCCTCCCGGGGCCCGCACCTTGTGTTTTAAACAGGGAGAATATTCTTTCTCAAAATGTGCTCCTGGCCCCCGGTTTACAACAACAGCGGCTCCCGTCTGATATTTCCTTGCAATGTATCCAAGACTCGGGCCTGTGACTTCCACGTAGTTTATTCAGGCGCCACGCCCGCGTCATTCAGGAATTGCGCTCTCGCCTGGGACGTCCTCATTGTTTACTTAGGAGTCGCGCTTCCGCCCGAGACTTCCTGGCGAATTATGCAGGACTCACGCACTCGGTCAGCAATATGCTTTTTCAATTGAACTGCCACTGCCGGCTTAAAGCACCAGGGGCTTCCGCCTGGCACTTCCTTGCAATGTATTGAAGAATCGCGTTCTCGCGAGGGAATTCCTTGCAATGTATAGAAGAATCGCGGTCTCGCCTGAGACTTCCCTGTAACGTATTGCGGCGTCACGCTTTCGGCACTCAGGAATCGCGCTGTCGCTTACGACTTCCCCGCAATTGCTTCAGGCGCCACGCCTTCTGACACTTAGGAATCATGCTTTCGACTTGGATTTCCTAATGAGATTCCTTGTGGAATAGCGCTGTCGCTCAAGACCTCTTCGCGATTCATGCAGGACGCACGCTTCAGCAATCCGCCTGCTCGACCAGGCTGGCTGGGCTCGCCTGTTAGGGTCTACCCGCCCGATCTGCCCGTCTGGTTCTGCCACGTGTTTTCTGCTCCCAGCCCCCCTCCTGATACTCTATCTCTCTCTCTCTCTCGTGCTCCATCCTCCTCTCTCCCCCTTGTCCCTTCCATCCGTCCTGTCGTCCCCTGCCCTTGGTGCTGCACGAAAAACACGTTGCAGTTAAGAACGGTATACTCCCAAGGGGATGCGATCGATTGCAAAAAGGGTGGGTACCGAAGGTTGGGAGGTACGCGCTGAATGGCACGCGAGCAGATAAGAACGAACAGTAGTCACATGATTGTCGTTTTAAATGTTGTTCACATTGTTAATGTTGGTGTTGGTGTTGTTGTTGCTGCTGTTTCGGTTTTTGTGTTATCGGCGTCCCCCCGCGGCCCACAGCCCCGCCACCCAACCCGCGACCCACCCGCGACCGAAAACGCGGCCGCCCCCATCGCCTTTATCCGCGAATGCAGGGTGCTACGTGAAGCCTACAAGTCGCGTGGCCCCTCTCTAAGTCGGGAGCGGCAAAGAGGGGGGCGTCCAAGAGGGGGGGGTGCAAATCATGGCCGGCGGCATGTGCGCGGCCCAGGGGGAGGGCCAAGGACGTAATGAAATAAGAAGAGGCGCCATGAAATCTGGGGAAATATCAGGGCCCCCCGACTAACTGTGCCGTGCCAGCGGGGGCACCCGGGCCTGCGAAGGGTGCCCCCCGCCAGCCCCGATTCGCCCCGAGCCCCTCCCCAGCGCTGCCCCTCCCCGCCCCCCCCCTCGGGCCGTCGTGACTGCGGGGCCCGTCGACCCACCTCCCGCAGGTTTGGGGGAAGGCTGCTCCATTCAGCGATGTGTTATCTTGCGTTTTGGGACATGCATTTGCGTTCGAAAAGTTGTGTTGCTGATGTCTGGTTTGAAGCTTCCTCGTTGAAGGCTCAACGAACTCCAAGGCAAATCCTGCCGAAATCTGCAGGAAATGGGGCATTCTGACAGGGCCACAGGCATAGCATTCCCATTGAATTTCGATGGGGCTCCGATTCGGACCACAATGGGATACGCTGGAGCTGGGGCCCCTCCCACTTCCTACTGCATTCCGGTCGGATTCCGATTCACATGCAATGCGCATATTCTTTATCGGGGGTCTGCACTGCCCCACTTGAACTTTCACTGTTTTGATATTGATTGTTGTTCCGTTTCTATTGATCTCCTTTTGGGGCCCCGTGGAAATTCAATTGGAATTCAAGTCATATAGAACTACTTTGAACCTGGGGCCATGTCAAAAGAATTTCGAGTCGAGGTGCATTCGGATCCGATGACAAACCTGTTTGTCGGGCCTGCCCCAGTCTTGTTGAATTCGATGTGGCTCCTTTTCTGTTCCAATGGAAACTCTCTGAGTCCAAGGCACGCGCACCCCCAAGCGAATTCCAGTGCGGATCAGTTTTGCAACCGACCGAATTATGCTGAACATGAGGTCTGTTACTCCAAGACCTTTTTGCCTCTAACAAGGGGTAGTGTTCGTGGCGGTCCTGCTTCGCCTGCTCGTCCCTCGCTCCACCAGACCTTCCTGCTTGGCGTCCTTCCATCGCGGCCACTAGTTCAACTGCTCGCAATCTAACAGTACGACAGTGACTACTACCTCTGCGACAATGACTAATGCAGCTACCACCACAGCTGCGACTGCCACCACCGCCACAACAACCTCCACCACGACCACCACCACCACCGCCCCCTAACCCAGATAAGTTGCGGTGGTGATGGAGGAGTAGTCATGGTAAATAGTAGTTGCATGGTGGAAGAGGTCGTCGTACTAGTACCACCTGTAGTTACAGAGCGGTGGAACAATCGCAGAAATGGTCGTAACCGTGTAGGTAGTAGTCGTAGTAGCCGTAGTGCTAGTTGTAGTAGCACTATCGCACTCGCACTACGTAGTGCGGGTAGCAGCCGTGGCAGTGGCCGTAGTCGCGGTACGACAAAGCTCGGTGGTGCAAGTGAAAGCAGCAATGGTCATAGTGACGGCCGTAGTTGGTGCAGTAACGCTGCGGTCTTGGAGATGCAGAAGATAAGGAGGCGAAACAATGATAATCAGCAGGAAAATGACCACGACCTCGAATGCCATCATCACAGCCAGATCCAGACAGGATGGTGGTGGTGATAGATGAGATAATCGTAGTGGTGGTGGTGGTGGCGGCGCTGATGGTGGGAGTAACTGCAGCAACGCAAGCATCAACAGAGGAAGTAGCAAGTCGTAGTATCATTGGTGCAGCATAAATACGGCGTTTCTCGCTTGTAGCACTCGGAGTGCCAATGGTAGTTGTTCTGGGCTGGTGGTGCTGCTTGTGCTGCGAACTCTCCTTCTCCACCGAACCCTCCTGATTCGCCTTATCCCACCATGATCGCTACGATCACACGTGCTACGCCAATTACTCATCATCCAACGCCTCCCATCACCTGCACCATGGTTACGACTGTCTACGATCCCTGCGACGACTATCACTACCGCTACTCCCCCCATGACTTCTACGAATACCAACGCCACCACTGCGACGATTACTACCACCACCACAACCTCCATCATAACAACAGCCACAACCACCTCTGACCCTGACCGGGTTACCATGGTGGAGTCATGGCATTGGCAGTGGTTGAACCTGTTGTGCTACCTGGTTTCCGGTCGAAACCAAATTTGATCATTATGAACTTAGGGCCTCTTTCCATTCCTATTGCATTCGGTTCGGTTCTCTAGTCAAATCCAATGGTGTTCCTCAGGATATGGTTTCTGACCCATCCCTATCGGGCTTTACATTTGGTTCCAACTCAACAACTAAATTCGTATGAATCTGGATTTGCCTGATTATGACGGAATTCCTGTTGGATATTATGAAAATCTACTTGAAATCATTTGTTTCAGGGTCCTGCCCCATTCCTACGAACGTTCTTTGCACTCCTGTGATTGTTATGTTTGAATTCGAAAATGAAAGAAAGCAGTCGTCGAACCAGGTGATGCCTGTGGTTGCACATGGATCTCTGAAGTTAATTACTGGGGACACCGAGTGTTTCTGACAAGGGCACCGAGTTTATGACAGGGAACACATTGGGAATACCAATACAAGTCAAAAGGCACCATTTGCTTGTATCAAATAAAAGCCGGGTGGCAATGAGAAGCGTAAGAACACATGGTTCCTGCAAATTTATACATATTTGTCGATGTGTATTGTTGTTCTGGTTTTCTCGGGTCTGGAATTCTTTGTCGGTGGATTCGGTTTTCCGGAATTCCCGAACCCTAGAAACTCAACCAACAAACATTCATAGATTATGACGCACAAGACGAGCATATAATTGCGGAGACACCGTGTTTTCACACGTTTCACTGGTGCCCGACTTGGCATAACCAATGGTGTCGCGTTGCAAAATGCATGATTGTCTATGATTGCACGCTTTCTTCCCAACCCAACAAAAATCATTAACTTCAGAGGTCCCTGTGCAGGCACAGGGATCACCTGGTCCCAAGACTGCTTTTTGCTTACACCAGAAAAGCAAAACAATACATGTAATATGCTGTATAGTTGTACAGCGAGACCATTTGTTTTTTTAGATCGGGAACCATTGAAACCTGTGAACCACAAAGCTTCGAAATGTTACGATTGCGTTTACACGTTGTGCTTCTTGTATTCCGAAGGCCTGGATTTTCTGGTCGGGCTTAATTCCTACCATCGGCTTTGCACAGGCACGCGGCAGAGGAGGACAGAAAAAGGACGTGATACATTCAGAGAGAACGACATGCGTAAAAGGCAATGCAAGACGACATCGTCATGGATCGATCAAAACAACAGACAAGGCAATAACAATAGAATGGCAGGCCCAACCCTGGGATATACGATGGGGGGCGTCCATCCTCGATAGGGGTGCGTCCGAGTAGCCCCCTGGAGGTGTGTCCCAGGGTTTTCCTGGTTTTCTGAGCGGCTTCACTGTTCATCGAAAAGGCGGGGGGTGGGGAATAAACATCTCTTGCGAGTCTCAGGAGGCTCGGAAGCTCCCCAGCCCTCAAAGAGGATCTCTTATCCTTCCTCGAAGGCCCGGGCAAGTCTTCGGAGGGCGCGAGGGCTTCTCTCGAGTAGCCCCGCCGCCTTGTGGGAAAACCTTATCCTTCTCATCTTCCCCCCTCCTCGCTCGCTGCCGACTGGAAAGCGCCGAGGACCCTTGCCGCTGCGACCATGCTCACTGCCCCCCTCCTCGCTCGCCGCCAAATTGAACGCGCCGAAGACCCTCGCCGCCGCGACCACGAGAGCACGCCCCGCCTCAGCAGACGGCCCGCCTCGTCCGGACACACACGCATCCCACCTGCAGGGATAGGCTGCGGCTCTCTCTCGGCGTCCTGCCCCCCACTCGCGCAGCGACCGCGGCGCCCTGCACTGGGCGGCACCCCGGCCGGCGGTCCTGCTCATGTCTCTAGCCCTGAGATCCTGGCGTTGCAATTTTTTCACAATGGGCGTTTTCGCTCAACTTCGGGCCCCGGGACCCTCACAAGTCGATCCGGCTCGAAAAATTAGGCAGATGATGGGACCCTGGGCTCCGGTCGTGATCTTTTGCGACGTTGTTTTTTTTTGCAACGTCGGATCTCAGGGAGCCCTCGAGGAGACTTGAGACTCGGGCTCAGGGGGCTCGGGTTGGCCGGACGGGGCCATGATGAGCACGCCGAGACCCAGTGTGAAGTCTGACGCGGGCTTCCACCTGCAAGCCTCCCACGGAAAGTGGACAAGCCAGGACGCGCTCGTCCAAAGGCGTCGCAAACCCGAGTTGCTGGCGCACTCAAGTCCTACGTGTCCCCGATACAGTGGGTCCCTGGACTGCGCCGACCCGCTCCGCAGGGCCGGGTTTTTCCTCCCGGGGTTATTTTTGTAGACAGTCCGGGGGCCTGGCGAGGAGCTCCTCGGAAGCCGAAAAGGACGGCCAACGACCAACCTCCAATCTTGATTCTGCCCACGACGCGAGTATCGAAGCCTCGTGCAGACATTGGTACGCACCGTCGAGTCGAGCCGATCGAACCCATGGACAGCCATGCTCGGAGCAAGGCGAGTTAAGACCAGGGCATCTCAACATCAATCCGGACCCATCCTGGGGTCTGAGGCCAACTGCCGCTGCGTCTCAGCTCGCCAATTCCCTGACATGCCGCGAGACCCGCATCAGCGGCCTCGACCACCGTCATGCTCGACAGGTGGCAGATGTCCACGCTCAGCGGTCCTGCGCGGGAAGGGCTGATTTTTGCTAGAGCGAGGGACCGAACGGTCATTCACTGTGCCTGGGCGCGGGTCTGAAATGGGATTCCGTAGTGAAGATTGTTGTGAGTCTTGTTGTTGGTGGTGGTGTTGTTGGTGTTGTTGGCGTTGTTGACTTCTCGCTCCACAGGAAGACGAATATTGTTATCCACCCTTCCCGATAACCGTTATTTCAATGAAAACGCTTTTCCCTGGGCTCGCACCCTGTTCTTGACAAGGGGAAATGAATTACCATCAAACTGTGCCCCTGACTCAAAATTACAACAACAGCGGTTCCTGCCTGATACTTTCTCACAATGCATTCTCAAATGTCGCTCTCGCGCGGGACTTCCTTACAAATTATCCCAGAATCGCGCTCGCGTGGAAACTCGACACTCGACAATCCCGAGGCACGCTCTCGCTTGGGCCTTCCTCACGATTGACTGGGAATCACGCTATCGGTCGAGACATGCTTGCGATTCATGCAGGACGCACGCTTCTCAGCAACCCGCCTGCTCGACCTTGCCGCCCGGGCCCGCCTGTCCGACCCGCCCGTTAGGGTCTACCCGCCCGACCTGCCCGTCTGGTTTTGCCACGTGTGTTCTGCTCCTGCCAAGAGCATCGACAACAGCGCTCCACGCGGGCGCTGGCGCCGACAGCTCTCCCCGAAAAGGATACCGGCGGCAGCTGGCCGATGCTTGTGCAGGGCGAAGGATGTTCTTCTTGAGGCGCCAGCGGCGATGAGTATAACAGGGGATATGTCGACCCCTATCGCTGGCGTGTGGGGTCATCGCAGGGACCAGAAATTTTGGGCCCAACCCTGGTGCGTCCGCATTGCCCCCTTGGGGTGTATCCCAGGGCTCCTCCCTTTTTGTCTGAACGGCCAAACTTTTCGGGCGGAACTCTGAGATTGGGGGGGGAAATCGCCTGCGACTTCGGGCGCCAGCGACGAGGAATAGTTGGCGAGGGAGCGTCGGCGCCGCACACGCACGGCGTGGGGACAAGCTGCTTGCAGCAGCTGGGGGTGAGGAGAGATGTGTTCATGTTGAGTGCGGCCCGTGTGCGGTGAGGTCCGATGGGATCCGTGGGACACCGCGCAGCATGTGTGTGGCAATTCGTAACAAACCCACCTCGCCAGCAGAATTTGAACAGCGGCGGGCCCAGGTGCCGCGGATCCGATGTCTCTCGGTCCCCGGATTCCGTGTACATAAATTATAAATCCAAAGCAGGGTGTAAACCGGATCCGCATGAGACAACAAGACGGAAGTCAGATCCCCAACATCTGATATCGGATCCGCGCGGACGGTCATCGGATACACCGCAACACTAATCCAAACAACATTCGGATCTGCATCACCTTCACTGGATCCACCAGTTGTTTAAATATTTTTTCATGCGCTCTGGTGCAAGAGTTGAAGCCATCATGTCCAGGCCCATCAGGGACAACTTCCGTCCTTGGGATACAGGCGCCGCCATCGGTCGCTCGCAGAGAACGGGAGAGAGAGAGACAGAGAGACAGAGAGACAGAGATATATATATATGTATATAAATATACATACATATGTATAGAGAGAGAGGCCCCAGACCACCTCGAGGCGTGAGAGAAGCATGACGTGACGTGTCTGGTCATACATATATATATATATATATATATATATATATATATATATATATATATCGGCTCCGGGAGGCCCTCGCCCGGCGCCCAGAGGCCGTCGCACAACGGCTCCGGATGGCAACGGGGAGCGGCCCCCGCCGGCCTCGGCGGCCCTCGCCGGCCTCGGGGAACGGGCCGAGATCTCCGGGGGCCGACGTGCGCGACGCGAGGCAGCGGGCCTCTGCGCGAGATGCATCAGTAGCGACCTGCCGCCGCGGACTGCGCGGGCCGCCAGCGCGGGAACGGCACAGTGGCCGACTGCACGCAAGAGTGACCTTTGGTGCGCGGCGTTTTGGGGTCGGCCCTTTCTCCCCTCCTCCTCCTCCTCCTCCTCCTTTACAATTACTCAATATGAATCTACTCTCCCTCTTCCCCTGATGGCGTCCGGGCGATGGCCGCGCACCCTCCGCGTACTGTTTTTTTACACACAGGATGCCTGGGAAATCCCGGGAAACGACTCTCGCTGAGGCGCCGGCGTCAGTTTTTCCCAAAATGCTGCTCTCGTTGGGGCGCCGGCCTCATTTCTGCTCCCGAATCGTTCCGAATCGTGCTTCCGCTGCAGCGTGGGCCTCATTTTCGGATCGGTGTTTGGCCTCCGTCGTCCAGGATGGCGTTCTCGCCCCAGCGCGGGCCTTTTTCTCGCGCGCCCATCCGCCCGCCACCACCGCGCCGCACCGCCATCACCACCACCACCACCACCACCACCACCACCACCACCACCACCAGCACCACAACCACAACCAGCACCAGCACCAGTACCAACACCACCACCACCAGCACCACCACCACCACCACCACCACCACCACCACCACCACCACCACCCACCACCACCACCACCACCACCACCACGACAACCACGCACACACGCACGCACGCACGCACGTGCACCACCACCCACTACGCACGCGCGCGCGGAGCCACAGGTCCGCTACGACACGCGTCCGCGGATGGAGAAAATCAGCGCCATGGTAAGGGATGGGAGGGAGGGGTAGGACGTCAGATATGACGCGAGCGCACCTAGCTTGTCCTCCTCCTCCTCCTCCTGATTCCTGATTCCTGATTCTGATGGCTTCAGAGATCGTCGATCGCAGCCCTCCTCCTCCTCCTCCTCCTCCTCCTGCTTCCTGGGTCCGTGGCTGAGCCCAGGAGACCCCAGGGAAAAGCAGCCTGGGCGAGGAAAACTGTCCCCGAGAAGGCCGCCGTGGGGACCTCCATCGGCGGCCGCGGGCCGAGGACACCGCACCTCGGCGGCTCCTCTGAGGGCAGCGGGGGGCAGAGGCCCACTCTGGGCGCGCCAGAATTGAGCAGGGACCGACCGTCCCGGCATTCCTATAGTCCTACCACGAAGCGTTTTTAGAACCCAAGAATGTTCCACGTGCGAAATCAATGTTCTTAGAACATAAACCGTCCCGGCATTCCTATAGTCATACCACGAAATGTTCTTAGAACCCAATAATGTCGTAAGAACGAAAGCAATGTTCTTAGAACATAAACCCGATGTGTTCAAACAAGACAGACTCCGACAGACATGTTCTAAGAACATTTCGTGGAAACCACAACAGGTTCTTAGAACATTGTTTGGTAGGGCTATAGGCGAGCCAGGACGCTTCGCCACTGCTTGACAGACACGGACAGGTGCTCTGGGGACCGCACCAGGGAGTAAAACGAAACCGGGACGAAGATGGATCGAGAGTCTCTGAGGAGATCCGGCGGTTCTGGACGATGTCTCGGGCGCTGCGGCCTTCTCAGAGCGCCCTGGAACGCTTGGAGAGCGTTCCCGGACGCTCAAGAAGGGATATGTCTTCGTCCTAGCCCCGTCCGACAGGTGCTCGGAGGAACGCGCGAGCGTTCGAGGGCCACCCCTCGGGCCAGATATCTTTCCCTCGAGGAGCCCAAAAGGGGGCCCCATTGAGCACATCTTGGGGCCTTCAGGGCGCTCTTCCTGGGCTCCGTTGGTGCTCTCCGATGGGCCTGCCGCCCTCGTCGTCCTGCTCTTCTCCGGGGTCTCGGCAAATCTGGCTTGTACCGTCTACTTCCCGCTGGCGCCGCACCTGAGAAGAAGGGGAAGCAAGAGGCCCAGACGTGCAAGGGTCTGATTTATTCACTACAGTCGGGGCCTTGACCTAAGGAACCCAAAATATGGAACGAGGCCCCTTGTTTCCATAAGTTACACTTCGATTTCCGATCGAGAACATCAGGAAAGCCTGAGGCAAGCTGCGAAACACTTAAGGAACGCGGAGCCCCTCCCCAACGAAAAGGGTTCCTTCTTCAGGGCCCCGACTGTACGGCCCCCCCCCCAAAGTCTGGACTCTTCCCCCAGGGCCGGCTTCTCGTGCTCCGTCGGTGTGTCCACGGTCCCGTGGCCTCGAGGGCCCGAACACGGACAGAAGCCTCCCGTCGCTTCTTGTCGCGACGCGAGCATGTTTGGGCAACGAGGACGCAGCAGTTCATCCCGCGCGATCCTGCCGCGATCCTGTTGTTGTGCTCCACGCCGAGCACGCTGCCCAAGATGCGGCTGGGCGCGCTCGATCTCTCTCGCCCCCCCACTCCCCCTCCCGGCGCCCCACCTTCTGCTTCGCTCCACCTCCTCGCTTCGCCTCCCCTGGCCGTCCCACAGGCTTAGGTAGGACCGCCGCTCGCGCCGCCGCTGACCTCTACAGTCGAGAAAATCGAAGGGGGGGGGGGCAGGGGGATACGCTTAGGTCGGGCATGTCTTCCGACAGGCGGATTTTGGATGGGAAAGAAGTTGTCAACAAACATCCTCAAACATAGTCAAACATATTAGAAACATAATTCCCAGATTTATTTACCATTGTTGATTGTTCTCCCAGTAGGGGGACATGCCCGACTTAAGGCTACGCCCTGCCCCAGGGGCTGTGACCACACGCGCCGGAGCCACCCAGTACGGCGTTTAGTGGCCCAATACCCAGACCACCTCGCGCTGTGAAAAAAATGACGACGAGAGCATTATTACTGTTTTCGGCATCTGGGGGCCCCTCCCGGGCCTCGGGACCTTCAACAGAAAGACTCGGGATGAAACACCGGTCCCGGGGAAAGGGTCCAGACCTCTTAGGGGTCGACGACATGACAAAATCACGACGTCGGGGGTCTGGGTGGGGAGCTCCTCCGAGGGCCCCAATGGCTGTGACCACATTCCGCGCCACCCAGTACGGCGCTACGCGGCCCCATGGGGAGCTCCACTGGAGGCCACGCCAGCACAAGCGGCACGAGTTCGCGGTGGGCTTGTGACATCAGCCCCCTTGGCGGCCACAATATCTCGGTTCGAGCGCTCCCTCCTGGGATCTCACACCAGCGCCGGGCTCACGCTCTGCAGCCCCAAGACCAGAGTCCAGAGTCCAGAGTCGGTCCTCCTCCTCCTCCTCCTCCTCCTCCTCCTCCTCCTCCTCCTCCTCCTCAATCCTCCTCCTCCTCCTCCTCCTCCTCCTCCTCCTCCTCCTCCTCCTCCTCTCCTCTCCCTTTCCCCTTGCGGCCCTTGCTCACCCGCCACCTCCCGCCACCTCCTCCTCCTCCTCCTCCTCCTCCTCTTCCTCCTCCTCCTCCTCCTGCTCCTCCTCCCTCCTCCTCCCTCTCTTCTTCCTCCTCCTCCTTCTCCTCCTCCTCCTCCTCCTCCTCCTCCTCCTCCTCCTCCTCCTTCTACTCCTCCTACTCCTCCTCCGAACGTGCACAGGTCCCCCGATCACGATTGCGCGTGATTCCAGATCCGCTCTGACACCCGTCAACCCTAAAAAGGGATGGACGGGAGGGGGCAGGATGTGAGATGTGGCGCGAGCGCGCCCTCCTCCTCCTCCTCCTCCTCCTCCTCCTCCTCCTCCTCCTTCCACCTTCCTCCACCTTCCTCCTCCTCCTCCTCCTCCTCCTCCTCCTCCTCCTCCTCATCCGCCTCTTTCCACCTTCCTCCTCCTCCTCCCCCCCCTCCCAGCGGCCCCCTGGACCCCCCCACACGGTTCTGAGCTTCTTCGCACTCTGGGCCCCTGGAGGTCCCGAGCCCTCTCCCGGGACCAGCTTCCAGTCCCGAGTCGTGTCGTCGACGGTCCCCGGGGCCCGCTACGGAGCCCCCAGGGGTCGGGGGTGCCCCAGGAGGGGGGCGTCTGAAGGCGGGGGCTCGCAAGTCATGGCCCTGTGAGCATGCGCGCGGCCCAGGAGGGGCCGGGGAACGTGCTGAAACACGAGACAGGGGCCACGAACTCCGGGGAGGCACCATGGCCCCGCCATGAGAGCCACCCATGGTGAATCTTAGGTCGGGCATGTCCTCCCACAGACGGATTTAGGAGGAGGAGGAGGAGGAACTAGAAACAGTCAACACAAATCCCAACATAACAGAAGCATCGGCCCCAGACTACTTTTTTTGACTGTGTACGAAAACTCCTCCTGCAGATGGGCATGCCCGACCTAAGATGAATCACCCCTTTCGACTATACGTAAGAGTGACCCTGGGTAAGAGTGACCTTTGGTGCGCGGCTTTTGGGGGGCCGCGGGGGGATCAAACCTGGGCGCGCAAGCCGCTGCTCCTGCCTCGTCTTCAGCCATCTGGGGACCCATCTGTGCCCGCACCAAAGGTCCCTCTGGCGAAAGGTCACTCTTACGTCTATCGGGTCGGGCGAAAGGGGGGGATAGCAAAGGGGGGGTTGAGAATCAGTTCACGTAGCTGACTTTCCCAGCGCCTCCAGGCGCCGGGAGGCGGCCATGTGTCGAGGAATGGGCCCCTCGGTGGGGCCGAAACCAGCTGCATGCAGCAAATTTCGTAAGCCCCCTTTCCCAATCCCCCCCTTTCGTCCGGCCCGAGTTTAGGACAACGAGCTCTAAACATCGATGCTTTCGCCGGCCCTACACTGCAACTTGCGCAACAATAAACGGATCATGGTGTATGCGAAATCCTGGTGTATACGTTTTTCGCTGCTTCCACGGGAAGACGGGGGCAAAAATTATACACCACACCACCCCGACGTCGTCCCCAGGAAGTCCTGGGATTGAGAAGCAGCCCGCCACTGGCCCCTCGTGGCCGGCCCGAAGAGGCCGAGGAGGACCAGCACCCTGCCGTGGTGCTCGCCTCTTGGCGGCGGCGCGGGCCCTGGGCAGCCGCCCGGGACGCCTGTGCGGCACCCCCGCGGGGGACGCTCCCGGCGGGGCGCGGCCGCTCCCTCCGTCATCCGGCAGAGGGGAGCAATTACTGAACACTCCCCCTCCCTCTCCTTCCTCCTCCCCCTCCCTCTCCTCCTCCTCCTCCTTCTCATCCTCCTCCTCCTCCTCCTCCTCCTCCTCATCCTCCTGCTCCTCGTCCTCGTCCTCCTCCTCCTCCTCCTGCTCCTCCTCTTCCCTCTCCCTCTCCTCCTTCTCCTCCTCCTCCTCCTCCTCCTCCTCCTCCTCCTCCTCCTCCCTGCGTCATCGGGTAGAGGGAACCGATTTCTGAACACTCCTTACCAGCCTCGAACGTACCCCTATCCCTCAGATTGACACGCCAAGAGGCGATGACAATCTCAGGGATGCGCCCTCAAAAAAAGAGGGGATCCCTGAGATTGGCATCGTGATGAGGAGGTGCCCAGCATAGGGTTAGGGATATGTTCCAGGCTGGTAAACTCACCCTACCCCCCAAACTCAATGTTGGCACGCGCGGGGGGCACTGCGGTCGAAGTGCATATCGTCGGACCCACCGCCAACTTTGAACATTGGGGGGAGAGGAGGACGCGTTGACGGATGAATGTGGCATGAGTGCTCGCTAATTTGTTCCGAGGCCTGTCGCACGGCGAGGTTTTGCTTTTTGTTGGCGGCGCACCTCTTCGGGAGGCGGAAGTGGGGAAACGAACTCTATACACACCGACGCTTTCCCCGCCCCTGCGCTGAAGTTCGCACAGGAGCACCGATTCTGGTGTATATGTACGGGATCCTGGTGTATACATTTTTCGCTGTTTTCCCGGGGCATCGGGGAAACAAGTATACACCACACCACCCCAGCGTCGTCCGCGACCCTCAAAAAGTCCTGGGATTCAAGAAACAGCCCGCCCCTGGTAATGTATACGTTCCAGTTTCCGAGGAAGTGCGGCAGCCGAGGGGCGAGGGGCGGTCGAGAAACGAACTGTTGCACGGGCGCAAGCGAGCGCAGCGACCAGCTTCCAGGAAAGAAGCCTCCGACGATGAGCGAAACCTTGCGAGCATGTGTCTTCCCTTCTCGCTCCCCTCCAGCTCCCACTCTCGAGACCAGCTGCGCCGCCAGAACAGGAGATCCAGGCGTCGCACTGCTTCGCACCGGGCGTGGTCGGCTCGCTTCGGGACGGGGTCCTCAAAGATCGATCTGGCTCGGAGAGTTCGAGTAGGGGGTCGACTACAGAATTGGTTTACCCCAGAATTGTTTTTTTGTCGAAGCCACGAGCAATACGTGGACATTGTCTTCATAATCCTATGTATTTTCGAAAATTCGAAAAGAAAAGCAATTAGGGGTAAACCAATTCTGTAGTCGATCCACTCAACGAAAACAGCAACAACTCATTACAACTCATTGCAAAATTGGCTCTGGGGATCCTGTCGCGCTTTTCCGCTATGTCGGATCTCAGGGACAGGTCGGGCATATCCTCCTACAGGCGGATTTTGAAAGACAAATGGAAAATAGCCAAGCAACATTCAAAAACAAGCAAACATACTGAACAAATCGTGACCATCTTAGTTCTTGACTATTTTTGAAAATTCCTCCTGTGGAGGGGCATGCCCGACTTAATCTGAGGGACAGCAGCAAGAGGGCTCGCATGGAAGCCCAGGCAGCCTCCATGCCGCAGAGGAGGCCCTTGGAGGCCACTTCGTGGGACGAGGGAGGACCAGGAGCCCGCCCCCCCACCCGTCTCTCCCACACTTCCCCCCACACGCGTCTCCCTCCATCTCCCCCCCCACATCGCCGCCCCCCTCTCCCGATCTCCCCATCCCCTCCTGCCGCCCTCCTGCTCCCTCTGCGCCCTCCTCCTCTCGGCCCAGGAAGAGGAGGAGGAGGAGGAGGAGGAGGAGGAGGAGGAGGAGGAGGAGGAGGAGGAGGAGGAGGAGGAGGAGGAGGAGGGGGAGGAGGAGGAGGAGGAGGAGGAGGAGGAGGAGGAGGAGGAGGAAGAAAGAGAGGAGGAGGAAGGAGAGGAGGAAGAGGAGAAGGAGAAGGAGGAGGAGGAGGAGGAGGACCTCCCCCTCCTGCTCCCCCTGCCCCTCCCCACCCCTCTCTCTCTCCATATCCCTCCCCCCGTGAGCCCCTCCTCCCCCCCCTTTCCCTTCCCCTCCGCGCTCCGCCGACTTTGGCCTCTTGGCCTCCACGTCTCTCCGGTCCTCCCTTCGCCCTCCAGGGGCCTCCCTCTCGTCACCCGCTCCTTCCCTCCCCGCCCGAGCACGTGGACGAAAGGCCAGGGATGGTGGGCTGGATTTCGACCGCCACCACCAGAAGTAGGAGGTCGAAGGGGGTCCCCCTCCTCCTCCCCTCTCCTCCTCCTCCCTCCTCCTCCTCCTCATGTTCCTCCTCCTCCTCCTCCTCCTCCTCCTCCTCCTCCTCCTCCTCCTAATAAGGGTACGCTCGTCTCCTCCTCCTCCTCCTCCTCCTCCTCCTCCTCCTCCCCCTCCTCCTCCTCCTGCTCCCTCCTCTTTCCACTTTCCTCATTGTCCTCCTCCTCATCCTCCACCTCCTTCCTCCCCCCAAATTATGGTCATGGTGGCGGAAAACGGGCCCATCAAAGGAGACTCTCCTGACATCCTCATGCATCTCAGAGCTGAAGACGCTCTTGTCGTAGCCCCTGTCGGCGGAGCTGCCGGTGAGCTGTCGTGCGGGCTCTTCTCTGCCCCGGGGCTCGCGCGGGGCAATTTGAGGAGAGGAAGCCTGGCGGACCAAGTACCCCCTTCCCCGACAGCCACAGGTGGACGCGACGGGGGAGGTCGAACTTCAATGACCTCGCGCTTGGACAGAAGCCCGCGGCAGGCGCCGATCGGGACTGGCGCGGTCTAAGGAACCCCCCGTGGGACACACGTCTCTGAGCTTCCCACAAGTGGCCAGGCTCCACCGCCCAACTTCCCTGACCTGACAAGACGTAAGAGGGTGAGGAAGATGCGCGCAACGACGACTGTCCGTACCGGGCCAGCCAGCACCGTGCGACAAGAAATGGGTTCGTCAGAGAGGGGGGCTTGGGAAGTACGGGGTGCCCTGGAACTGCGGAACATCGCAGGATGTTGTTCGCATCGAAGCCAGGGACCAATTAACTTCAGCTGATGACTCATAACAAAAGGTGAGGCTGCGGGCTACTAAGTAGTGCACGATTCTGCTGAGAATGCTCCCCTCTTTTCGTCTCTGGCCACTCGAGATCTTTATCGGGGTACGCGTGAGCGGGAGGACGAGGCCGACAAACATGCGCTGCACACGGTGTACGCATGTATAGAAGAGGGCGAGAAGCACAAATATCCCAACACAGAAAGAAACTCGAGCACGAGGAATGGACCTGGCAGCGGGAAGAAGGGAAGTGGAGGGCGACGAGGCCGAGAGCAGAGGGGGGAGACGAAGGCCAGAAAACGATATCCAAGCCCTGCTCCCTCCTCCTCCTCCTCCTCCTCCTCCTCCTCGTGTTCCTGATCCTCCAGCTGGTCCTCCTCCTCCTCCTCCTCCTCCACCTCCTCTTGTCAGTCCTCCTCCTCCTCTTCCGTCACCCCCTCCGCAATCAACTTTTTGTTGCTGAAGTGTTCCTTTCGCTGGAACGTGATGCTGCAGGCAGCCTGTAGCCGTCGCCGCCGCGCCGATGCCGCTCGCCGAACTCTGCGGCGCCGTCGGGGCCGCCCGTGGGGCTTTCCTCGTGGCCCACCTTGGGGGCCCCAAGACCTTCCAAGAGTCGTGTCGGGCGAAAGGGGGGGATAGCAAAGGGAGGGCTTGAGAATCAGCTCACGTAGCTGATTTTCCCGGCGCCTCCGGCCGCCCGAGGCGGCTATTGTATCGAGGAATGGGCCCCTCGGTGAGGCCGAAACCAGCTGCATGCAGCAAATTTCGTAACCCCCCCTTTCCCAATCCCCCCCTTTCGTCCAGCCCGAAAGACCTTCCAAGAGACGCCTCGCCGCACGGCCCGCCACCCTGGAGGCCGGACGCTCCCGAGCCCCAGAGCCGCGCGGGGGCCCCGAACCCCCGCCGACTTGCCGCACGGCGTGGCCACCACACCGCTTGAAGGGCCCCCGGCCCCTGCCGCCTCGGGCATCGCGCCGGGGCGCCCACCCCCCTCGCTGGCGAGACACACCTCTGCATGCGCGGCCTCGCGGTCGGGGCCCCTGGACCGCGACTCCGCGGGTACGGGGCGGCGGTTCGCAGATGCGTCGCGCGGGACGTCTCACTTCGCACGACCGCGTATCCGTGGGATCGCGCCCCGGAATCCAGACCGAGAGGGCGCGGGTGCAGACTTGGCGGATTCTGGAACCCCCGAAACCAAAAAAAAAATATCCCGGCAAAGCAACCTAACAACGATGTAGCATATCTGGAAGCATTCCCCTTAAGATTCAGATGAGAATCCAGTTGTAGAATTCTGCTGTTCTCGAAGTCGTAATCGCATTCGCGATGGCAGTCGCAGTGGCAACGGCAGTCGCAGTCACAGCCTCAGCCTCAGCCTGGCTCAGCCTCAGCCTCAGCCTGCCTCAGCCTCAGCCTCAGCCTGCTTCAGCCTCAGCCTCAGTCTGCCTTCGGCCTCGGCCTCAGCCTCAGCCTGCCTCAGCCTCAGCCTGCATCAGCCTCAGCCTCAGCCTCAGCCTGCCTCAGCATCAGCCTGCCTCAGCCACAGCCTCAGCTTGCCTCAGCCTCAGTCTGCTTCAGCCTCAGCCTCAGTCTGCCTTCAGCCTCGGCCTCAGCCTGCCTCAGCCTCAGCCTGCCTCGGCCGCAGCATCAGCCTGCCTCAGCATTCAAAATGTGGCCCAGGAGTGGAGTTTTGGGAACTAGACAAACACGAGGTGGCCTACAGTTGGCTCGAGGCATTCAAAATCATGCCCAGGAATGGAGTTCTGGGAACTTGAAAAGCACGAAGTGTTGGCTCCGGGCATTCAAAATGTGGCCTGGGAGTGGAATTCTGGGAACTCGAAGACCACGAAATGGTCTACAGTTGGCTCTGGGCATCCAAAATGTGGCCCGGGAATTGAGTTCTGGGAACTCGAAGACCACGAAGTGGCCTACGGTTGGCTCCGGGCATCCAAAATGTACGCCGGGAATGGAGTTTTGAGAACTCGAAGGCCACGAAGTGGCCTACAGTTGGCTCCGGGCATCCAAAATGTACGCCGGAAATGGAATTCTAGCAGCGCCAAGAGCGATTTTGCGAGGATGTCCCAAGCGATTTGGGCTTCGACGGCAGCCGCGCCGGGTCCCGCCCCGGGTCCCGCCCCGACCCCCCTGAGGAGTCATGATGCTCTCTTTGACCCCACTAGAAACCTATCAGTCTTCGCTGTTAGGTAATTACATCATCTCATCTCTTGCGAAGTCGACTCTTGCTTCCGCCGGCTTCCGCCAGCCTTCCGCCGCCCTCCGCCAGGGGAGCCGCCCTCATTCTACGTCCACCGCCTCCCGCCGACCTTCCGCGGCCTTCCGCCGCGGAAGAGCCGACAACTCCTCCGATCCTCGAAGGCGAGGCCTTTTTCTAGAGCGCCCCATGTGTTCGCCGCTCGTGACCCGCCTTCCGCGGGCGGAAACGGGCCTGCCCCGCCCGCCCGTCGCGGGCCGCGGGTCGCCGTCGCGGGCCGCCGCCGCCGCCGCCACGGCGGCACGGCCCGCGCGGGCGGAGGCGGAGGCGCCGCCTGCGCCTCGCCACCGCGCGGGGCGCCCGCGGCGACGTCGGCGCGGGCGCGGCGGGGCCAAGACGAAGCCAGGACAAAAAGGGGCCCTGGGGGGGCGTCTGCGGTTTGCGCCCTGTGTGGCGCCCTGCCACGGAACGGCAGGCAATTGCGAAGCCTTGCGCCCTGTGTGGCGCCCAGCGACGCAACGCGCCCTGTACGGCGCCCTGCCACGGAAATGCAGGCACTCGGCCCCGCAGGGACGTGACTCCCCGAGCCTGGCCCAGCGGCACAGTAGGCGCCGACGAAACTGCGGACCACTGGCGATGCTCTTTGTGCCCGCGGTGAGTGAAGCATCTGCGTCTCTAGATCGCACATTTTCCGAAAGGTTCCGCCTTCCTCCTAATAGGATCAATACCGATGCCGTTGCTCCCCTGGCCTCTCGGCGCGCGCTGGCCAGGGCTCGGGCCAAGCCGCGGCGGCGTGGCCAGGGCGTTCCGAAGCCAAGGCGGCGGCGGCAGCGGAAAATCACGGGCGTGGATCAATCCTGGGGCGACACATTGGGGGGAACGAGGGGTGCACTTCTCGGGCCCTAGAGGCCTCCTTCTGCGTCTAGAGGGCCCCTGTAGGGGCCCTTCGCTGCAGCCCTCGCCGGCCCCCCCAGCCGTCGCCCACCCACTACGCAAATCCCAGCAGCTCGAGATCCGTGAGATCTGGCGGCTCCGGAGGATGCATCCGTCGCCGCGGCCTTCCCAGAGCGTTCCGGGTTGCTCCGAGAGCGTTACTTTTCAGCCCTGGTGCAATTTCAGCCCTGGTAAAATTTTAGCTCTGTCCTATAGCGAAAAAAGAAACGGGCCCGAGAGTGCCCTTTGCTCTGAGAGGCTCTGGTGCAATTCTAGCCCTGCCCCAGCGCCGCCCAGGGGGCGGCGGGCAGCGCTGCCGGGCCGGGCAGCGGCGCGCAGGGCGCAGCAGCCGAGGGGGGCGCAGGCCCGGGGCGGCGATGCGCCCGAGGATACACTGAGGATCGCCGAGGACGTCGGCGACGGCAACCAGCCGCGGCGGCGGCGCCGCAAGCGGCAGCTCTCAGCCCCTGTGGGAGACCCTGGGCCAGCTGCTGTGCTTGGCAGCGTCGAGAAGGGGGCGGAGCGGGAGCGGGACGACTCGTGGGCCGACGCTTCGATGGCAACTCATGGGAGCCTCCCGTACCATCTCGTTCGCTCTTGCGAATGAGCGCTCGCAGACGCAAATCTACTCGAATCGGCGCCGAATCGAAGCTAATCGAATCTAAATCGGAGCCATCTCATCGATTACCAGACGCTAGTCGACGCCAGCGCACTCTGCAGACGAAGTGACGAGGGCATACAAGGCTCCCACCAATTGCTACCGAATCTGACGCCCTCCTCGTCCGCCGTGGCCGACGCGGAGCTGGAGCGGCAGCGCCCGACGGGACGCGCAGGTAAAGCGCCAGCGGACATGCTAGACGTCTCGGCCGTCGAAGCCGCGTGCGGATCCTGGTTTGCACAGGGTGCCAACCGCACGAGTACCTCCGGCATCGCCCCGGCGAGGCCCCTGGCAGGCGCGTCGTCTATGTCCTGAGCGCCTGTCGGTGCAAGCGACTCCCGGGCTTGGTGGTTCTTGTAAACGGCAGGGCTGTTTGTGAAGCGTGTCCAGACATCTGGATTATGCGAACGACAAAGCCAAAACAACTGGTCGCCGAAACGGACGGGTTGAAACCCGAGCCGGAACCAGAAAAAGACAGCCACGGAACTGGAAACAGAACTGGCGCCACAACCGGGGAGAAAAAATTGCAAAACGAATCAAACAAAGAAAAACTGCTCTGTCGCGTCCACCAGCCACTGAACTCCCAGGATCCCCCCCCCAGAGTCAGGCCGATACCATGTGCCTTACCTGATGTACTAGCACCTCCTGCAGGGTGGCGGTTGTGACTCCGCCGCCCCTGTGTGGCCCTTGAACCTCCTCCGCCCGTTCCTTCTCCTTCTCAAGCTCCTCCTCCTCCTCCTCGTCCTCCATCTCCTCCTACTCCTCCTCCTGCCTCTCCTCTCCTTGCCCTAGCAAAAGAGTGAACTGGAGGGTCGGCCTGTGGCGCATCCTCCAGGTCCGAGCTGAGGTCGGCGTCCGAGTCCGAGTCCGAACCCGAGCCAGCGGCCCTGGCGCTGGCGGCCCTGGCGGCAGGGTCGGCCGTGATGGGGGTCGGCAGCATCACGGATCGGCGATCCGAGGCACGGGCATACGACCAGTGATGAGGATATCTGGTCAGAGACCTCCAAAAAGGCCTCCAATGACATCCGCAAACCTGCCCAACGGGTCGCTGCGCCACCGATGAGAGGGTCCTCGCGCTCACGTAGATGGCATGAGGAGACGAGGAGGAGGAGGAGGAGGAGGAGGAGGATGCAGAGAAGGAGGCGGAGAAGAAGGAGGAGGAGGATGCCAACCTGGGCACTCATACCCCGACCACCGCCATGGAACACTGCAGTGATGACCTGCTGGCGCACGACTGGTGCAAAAGGATTTGGCCCAGCGCTGCCGGCGTCGTGCACCAGGGGCCCTTGCAGACAGGGCTCGGCACGCACGAGCCCGCGCAATGTGTGCACGTAAGTCCAGGGTTGCCACTGGCCATCGCTCGGACGTCCATTCCCTGTGTTTTTTTTCGGTTTCGTGCGTGGCTGTTTCGCCAATTTATCAAGGATGCCCCTCGATGGTCCTCGCCGAAGGAAAAATGCACACGTCCGAGCGATGCCAAGGCCAAGGGGGAAGACGGATCCCGAGAGAAGCGCGTGTCGCTCTGCAGGGTCGACCTGTCGTCCCGAGTATTGCCCGACGGCCCCGAAAACAGTGAAAAAGCACCCGCCCACCACGACTCAAGAACCCTTGCTTCCGCTGTGAGAAGGAAGTCTCCGGAGGTCCTCATAAGACCCCGGTTGATGATGGGTGGAGCGGTGAAGTGGTGGGAGGGGGGAGAGTGGTAATGCGGACGAAGGCCGAGAAAGAGAGCGAGAACAGGCAGTCCGACGTAGTTGGTTTGTAGATGATGCAGTGTCCTTTCGCGACTGCTCAGCTTTGCTGAGCATCTGAGGCCACAGCCCCATCGCCAGGCTTTTGCGGGGGGGGGGGCGATGAGATTCAGGCATGGATTCGCTAGCTTACACAGGAAGAGGGAAGGGAAGGAAAGAACATGAAAGGATGGCATGGAGAGGATGAGGAAGAGAAGAAAGACAGGTAGGAAGAGAAGGGATCGGAGGAGACCAATCACGTGAAGGACGAACTGGCGGGACGCGGAATGGGAAGAGGGGGGCGAGGAACATTAGCAGAGGAAGAGATGACATGGAAGGAAAGAGAAAATGAGATTGAGGCGGGTGAGCAAAAAGAGGAGAAGGACGACACGGAGGAGGGAAACGGCGACGATGAGAAGGAGAGGACACATGAGGGGCAGGATGGAAGGATGAGGAGAAACAGTATGGCGAGGACGAAGAGTAGGACGTGGGGGATGAAAAGGTCATGAGCATAAGGACAGACAGAGAGGGAGAAAAGAGAGAGTGAGAGAGATAATCAACAACGCAAATGACACCAGAGAAAATCACAATCAATGGATGTTCAAATGTTTCGCAGGTGCTTCAATCGGCCTTCCTCCCGCCCTAGTGAATCAACACCTAATTTTTAGCCCCGTCTAATCATTATGTGTTCCTCTCCATCACTCTAATGAGTTCTCTCTCTCTCTCGCGCTCTCCCTCATCTCTCTTTCTCTCTTCTCTCTCTCTATATATGGCTTACTCCCTAAATATTCCGGTGCACATGTATATGCATATATATATATATATATATATATACATCTGTACATATTTACACACGTGTACAATGTACTCAATGTCTCTGTAGGTATCTCTTTCTCTCTCTCTCTCTCTCTCTCTCTCCCCCGCGTCTCTCATTCATTATTTACCATAACTGTTTGGTAATATTTCTCTCTCTTGTTTTTCTCTCTGACCTTCCTCTCTCTTACATAACTATCGGAGATTGCGAGGTTAGATTGCAATGATACGGAAGCCCCCTCTCTGGGATAATGGTTCCGGATTCACGTTCGTGTCGCGCGTGCAGGCGAGGCGAAGCTGCGTGGGCGGGCGAGAGGAACGCACTCGTCATTGCCAGGGTGAAGCCGAGCCAAACTTTGCTGTCCCCCGGGTTGGCCAGCAGTGACCCTGTGGTGTCCCGATGGTGTCCCGCTGGTGTCCCGAAAATGTCCCGATGGTGTCCCGTGGTGTCCCGTGGCGCATGGGTGTCCCGTGCCAGATTCGGCTATAGTATATGCTATGCAATGCCATGCGAAAGATAGCGAGATGGATAGTACGATCGATGCGGCGATCCATTGAACGAAATCGAGAGTGAGCTCGATAGTGCAATCGATAGTGAGATGGATAGTGAGGTCGATTGAGTGATATCGATCGTGAGATCGACTCCAGGATCGATAGCGACATCGATCGTGAGATGGATTGTGATATCGATTGAGTGGGATCGATAGTAAAATCGATCGATCGATCGATCGTGTGTTCAACAATGGTATCGATGGTGATATAGATCGTGAGATCGATAGGGAGATTAATGATGATATCGAAAGTGAGATTGATAGTGACATCGATGATGAAATCGATAGTGAGACTGATAGTGAGAGCGATCGTGAGCTCGATCGTGAGATCGTTCGCGAGATCGATCGTGAGATCGATGGTGAGATCGAAGGTGATATAAATAGTGTGATCGACAGCGAGATCGATCGTAGGGCCGATGGTGCTATCGAGAGCGAGATCGGTATGCAGATTCGATTGTGAGCTCGACTGCATGCGATGGAGGGTGAGATCGACAAGAACATCGAAAGTGACATCGACCGGGCACCAGGCGAAACCCGGGACCCGATAAGTGGAACCCCGCAGGAGCCCCGCCGCCGACCACCCCGCCGCCCGCCGAGATCGGCCTGCAGAACCAGAAGCCGGGAACCCAAGGGAACCGGGGAACCCCGAGAGCCCGGCCGCCCACCGGAGTCGGGGTGGCACTTTGGCCAAACCTTTCAATTGCACCACAGAAGAGCCCCAATATTTTTGGTCTGCGGGTCGAGAGCAAGCCTCTTCGGGTTAAGAGCTAGGCGGGCCGCGCAAAGCACGAATTGGGGAGACAGGGCGCGGGCGGGCGGGGCCTCAGGCGGCCGGGGGGCGCGGGGTGCAGGCGGTGAAGAACCCCAATCAGTAGATGGTATGAAAATTAGTGCTATGGATGTTCATATTGACACCGATTGTGAGATCGGTGGTGGCCTCAATAGTGAGGACGACTGGGATGTCGATCGCGAGACCGATAGTGGAGTCCATGCAATGAGATCGATGGCGAGATCGATCGTGAGGTCGCTCATGCGATCTGTAGTGATCGAGGCCAACTGTGAGATCGATAATGAGATCGATAGTGAGACCGATAGAGAGAGGTGGGTCATGAGATCGATGGCGAGACCGATCGGCAAGAACATCGACCAAAAACCAAAAAAAACATGAACCCCGCCCCCCCATGCACACAAATAGGCCCGGAACCCGGAACTGGAACCTGGAGCCCAGGAACCTGGGAACTCGGCCACCCACCAAAATCGTAATCGTCCCCGAACTTTCGCCAGATACTTCAATATCTGCTAGGACCCCTTCAGTGCAAGCACTGATTGGGGAATAGACCTAGACAGGGAGATGGAGTGATAGTGAGCGAGAAGGCGAGAACGAGAGAGTCGTACGCCAGTGACCTAGATACAGAGTAGGAGTGCAATCAACAGAAATGAAAGAGAAAGAGAGAGAGAGAGAGAGGAGAAAAGAAGCAAGAAAGAGAGAGAGAGAGAGAGAAAAACAAAATGATACTGGAGAAAAAAACCAATCGGGGATATAGGGCTAGGGGGCTATAGGGCTATATGGCTATTGAGCTATAGGACTATAAAACTATAGGGCTATAGAGTTGTAGGGCTATAGGGCTATTGGGCTATAGGGCGCCCCCGGGCACCCCCAGGCCCACCCCGGCACGCCCGGGCACCCGGGACCCTCGGCACCCGGGTACCCCTGGGCACGCCCAGGCACCCTGGCGCCTGGGCACCCGGGCACCCCCGAGCACCCGGGCACCCGGGCGAGCGGCGAAAATCGGCGGCAAACCTAACCTTATATGAATCCGCTAGGACCCCTACAGAGGCAAGCTCTGATTGGGGGACAAAAGCGGGAGGGAAAGAGAGAGAGAGAGAGAGAGAGACAGGAAGCCAGAGATGGGGAGGTACTGGCCATCGCTCGGACGTCCATTCCCTGTGCTTTGTTCGGCTTTGTGCGTGGCTTCTTCGCGACATGATCAAGGAGGCTCCTCGATGGCCCTCGCCGGAAGAAAAATGCACACGTCCGAGCGATGCCAAGGGCAGGGGAAGAAAAGAACATGTGTGGGGGGGGCGGCTGTGGGGCCCGTCCGCGCCTCCGCTGCTCTGCGACGGCCGAGGCCGCACGGATGTCACGGAGCCTGCCGTCGGAAAGGAGGGGAGCGCCATATGAATAGAGAGAGAGAGGAGGCAGCGGAGCGGTGGGGCGCAGATGGTCCTCCTCCTCCTCCTCCTCCTCCTCCTCCTCCTCCTCCTCCTCCTCCTCCTCCTCCCCCTCCTCCTCCTCCTCCTCCTCCTCCTCCATTCCTCTCGCCCCCATCGCACGTCTTCCGCTCAACATCCCCTTCTCGCCCTCCTTGCCTTCTGAGACACATCTCCCCTGGACATCCTCACCCTCCATCGTCCTCCCTGAGATCCGACGTCGAGGACAAAGTTCATCGTCACAGAAAAACACGACCGGAGCCCAGGGCCCAATCTATTTGCGGCATATTTCGAACCTGATCAACCTGTGACGGCCCCAGGGCCCGAAACGAATCAAAATCGACAGTTGCGAGAAAATGCGACGCGAGGGTCGCGGGGCTCCCTCATGGTCCCCACCCCCTCCTCCTGACCCTGTGCGCCGCTGCCGTGCGCACGTGCATCCGTCTTCGTCCCCCTTTCTCCGCCCAGCGTAGCGTACGGTGGGGAGGAGCGAAGGGGGGAGGAGAAAGGACGGGGGGACGGGCTTTTTGCATGAGCATGTGCAAGATTTGATTTCATTATAACGGAAGTGTGGAGATCCTCTTTTGCTGGAACCAGCGCGGTAGCACAGCAGTCAATGGGCATTCTCGTGAGCCTTGACACCGCCAGCCCGTCAGGGCGAATAGTTTAAATACCCTTCGACCTTTTAGTCGGGGTAGCTCCTGACATTACATCTTAGTCTAGCCGCTTCTCCCCAATTTCATCGGATAGTGGCACTCCTCCTGTAGCCAATCGTGGCACACGCAGGTACTCCCTAACAAGGCGACTAAGGGCAAGCTTCTGCAAACAAGCAAGGGACATCATGCCAACTGTGTTTCTTCTCCTCCTTCGCGCGCTCATGATGCCTTATCTCACTGACCCTTTGTCACCAGCTGCTTTTTCGCACCGTCCGTGAGGCCTCGCATATGTGGGATCAGATGATCAGATCGACCCGCGTTGATCGTGAACACGGGAATCACTTTCCCACCAGCTGAAAACATCATGTGCTGCAATAGCCTCGAGACCTAAGCCTCTTACAGTCGGCGGCGGCGGTTTCCGCGCAACCATCCGACTTGAAGCCGTTGTTCAACATTGCCCGCGCCCTCGTGTGACAAGTCTGCCCGAACGCGCGCCCCTCGTTCAGGCGCGGGTGGATCCCGGCCGCCCCGCAGTCCTATCACCGCTCGACGAGCGGCGCCACCCGACGCAGATGGACGCACAAGGCTACAGATGGCAGGCGCAGCAGCTAACGCTGCTTCTGCATGTGAAGGCGCAGGTTGTTCCCAGTGCTTCGGTGATAAGGCTGCCATGACTGGCCCCCTCCCACTACTACAGTCGGGCTGCTGGAAGAAGGAACGCTGACTAAGGAACGAAGCCCCTCTGTGGCTTCATAAAAGCCTGGGTGCACGAGAAGGGCTAGAGGAACAACCACGGAAGGACGTAAGGAACATCGAGCCCCTTGCGAATCCAATGTGTTCCTCTTTTGAGCGTCTTGGCTGTATGACGGACGCAGTTGTGTGTGAATCCGTTCTCTATGATGGATGCACGTGTGTCCGATGCTCCTCTGCAGCTGAAGCAGCGCGCGCCGCATCTCCGCGCCTGCCTGCGCAGTCAGGCCTCGAGAGGCCCCATCACTATACTATCTCCGGCCTCGTCTAGTTGCCAGGGCAATCCCCGCCAGCTCCAGCGAATGAACGCGCCACGACCTCCAGCAGCTCCCCCTTGAACGTGATGATCCCCTCAAAGGGGCCCACCCCGTCCGGGCTTCTGTTGGACCCGCTGTACACAAACGCGCGGCGTCGAACCGCCCAGGGCAGAATGGCAGAGTGGATGCCATTTGTCGCCCGGACAAACTGTCCGAATAATGCATTCAAGGTTCTGACTGGTCCTCTCTGCATACTTACAGATTGCTCGGCTGATCCGCTCGATCCATGTGATGTGACATTGCTGCGCGGATCTCTTCCAGGCTCGATCCTCGTCGCACTGTTCTAGATTGCTGTTCGAGATGAGACTGCTAAAAACGGTGCTCGATAAATTTACAGCGCGAGTCTCGGATGACCTAACTCGTCGACGAACGAACATACAACTGCCACTGAGTACTTATCTACTCCCGTTCTCCTCAACATGATGGCAAGCGGGCATCCCGAGCTCAAATCATAGTCACCGAGACAAGGTGCTGCATCTGATCCTTGCCTGCCCTCTACCACAACAAAAACATATTCAAAAAAAACAACTTGATTCGAATCATCTCCGCGGTCTCCCGTCCTCCTGCAGGGCGCACCTGACACTCGCCCTTCTGTGGGTTGCAACTGTGCGCGGCAAAGGTGGCCCAGAAAGATTCAGCTGTGAAGCTGTTTCGGGCGCCCCTTCGGGATCTAGATCATCCTGAACCCAATGTTCAGAAAACGCCTCCACAGGTCAATCGTGCACATCATGTTGGGCACCGTCCTTCACCCCAACTCCTTCTCCATCGACGTTGGCCAGGTCGCCTCCGAAATCCGACCAGGACGCCTTGGTTGCCGACCCGCTCAACTGCAACGGCCACGGGCCAAAAGAATTCGCCAACTCCATGCGCCAACCAGCTCCGCCCCCCCAAACATATACCCCGAATCCTCCTTGCTGCAGAAATAACCGAGCACCTCGCAAGACCGCTGGTCTGCCGAGCGCGATGCTCAGTTTGGCGCATGCCCTTGAAGACCAGCTTCTTGCCGACGTCAGGATTCAGCTCCACGCTGCAAGCAGGCGCGCGGGCACCTGATCTTGGCGCCCCGGCGGGCATGCACTGCCGTGGTTCCCGCTGTCAGGCATGGCCGCTTGGACCTTTCCCACCGTCGCCACCCGACCCCCGAGGGGCATCGCACAGCCCATCCGACGACTGCTCCATCCATCCTTGCAGAAGCTTGGCTGGGCGGCCCCGTCGACGCCGTCGCCGCAGCTGTGCTCCATGACTGCTGAGCCGATCCATCTCGCGCCGGCGTGGCGCCCACTTCCTGCACCGCTGGCTTGAAAAGAAAAACGGTCGCTCGACGGCCGCATTCCCCACGGTGGTTGCAATTGCTGCCGAACTTCGATCGTTTGCCCATTGCTTTGCCACTGAAGTTGCCTTTTCCCTTTTCCTCCTTTGGCTTGTCCGCCTTGGCTTGTCCTCCTTTTCCCCGATCCGCCTTTGACTGTGGCCACCTTTTTGATAGCCACTGTCTGTTAACCCTTGTGATTGTTGCGATCGTTGGTGTTGTCAGCATACATCGGTGTTTGCTCATGGCTACCTAGATTTCCAAGGCTCATGCTGCTGCACGGCTTCGATACCGCATACTGCCCTGCGCGTCTTTGAACTGCGACGCATTGCTGAAACTCTTGATCACTGATGCTTGCTGGTGCCGTTGTCTTGAGAGTAGCTTGGCGCACGGTGTCGATGAACACCTCTCCGAACCGACCGCGTGCCGTTTAAGATTCCCTGGCGGTCGCGTCATGTCGTCCATCAGGGTTTCTGGTTTGCCTGAGAGTTGCGAAGTGAGATGACCATATAGCATCGTCACCAGGGTCGTTCCTTCTGTCGGCTCCTCTCGTTCGCATAGGAGACACCGTGCGTCAAAACATCAGTTCTCCTCCTCCCTCATGATGAAGGCGAGGGCGCTCTCCTGCAAGACATTCTGGCCAAATTGTACACAGGTGTGGTGGTTGATACCGCTCCCCGACGCTCAAACAGCTGATCTTGATCGAGGCTAAAGAGTCCCGGCTATCTTCACCCAATCGGCCAACTCGGGATCCATCGCCCATGCGCATGCTCTAAAGCTGACGTTCCATCCTGGCCACTCTCAAGAATCGACGTTATCAGCCCTGGTTCGTCCGATCACGTTCAAGCCCACCAGCCTAACAACAACCGTCAACCGAAACAAGAAACAGACCCGCGACAACTTTTAATTCCCATGCATGAATCGATTTCACTGTGGGCGGAATGTGGAAGCCGCGACAACAACACTCGCATTTTTTCTGCCAGTCAGACCTCTCGAGGCCTTGCAACCACCAGTCCGTGAGGCCTGACACCTTTTAGCCTGGGTAGCTCCATACATTACAGCTTGGCCCACCCCCTCCTATTGCACCGTACGTGAGACAACTACTAACACTAAATTGCTTTGTGTGCTTCTATTTAGAGCCTCAAACAAACTGCAACCCAACCCACATAGTCCCAAAGGGAGTGGGGGAGGCCTCTAAAAGGCAAGTTTGAACCAATGCAGATCCGAGCGCATGAGGATTGGGCAAAGAGAGGAAGGGGTGGAGAGGGGCAGGGGAAGGAAGGAAGGAAGCAGAAACGAGGAAGCAGGACGAAAGGGGGATGATAAGCGGAGGAGTGGGAGGACCGAAAGAACGACACCAACCAGGGTCAGCCCGACGAGCTACTCCGACCACCAACCACATTGCAGACGCCGAAAAGCGCCGCGCCCGACGGTGCCGCGCGCAAACGCCACCGAGACCGGATGACAACATGACAGCGATGACTGGGATGAAGGGGGTAGCGGGATGATAAGCAAGGTGATGGGGAAACTATACCGGTAACGTGCTAGATGTTTTGATTCCGCCGGACACGTAGAACACCGCGCTCGCTGAATCAAAGAAACAAGCAAATCTACACTGACGCACTAAAGCGATATGTGGGGCTGCACGGGTCGAACTTCGGCTGGATATAAGTCGAATTCGCGTTGCACACCTTGGATGTTTCACAACATTCTGCCCGTAACAGGCCATCTGCACAAATAAACAGAAAACAACCCTCCATATTGACGCCAACTCAATCTTCGCACATGTTGGACGCCAACGGTGAATTCGCAAGCACAAAGAAACACACCACTCTTCCCATAGGGCAAGCCTCAAGCCAAGAACTCACGACATGGCTCTCCTGACGTCGATCTTCAGAACAAGTCTCGCCTTCACCACCCCACTGGGGTGATACTCGTAGCCTGGTGACCTATGCACCAGGCCATTGACCGCGCCAGGGAACAGCTTCCCCTTCATGAGCAAGATGTCGCCCACGCCAGCCTGACACACCGCAGCTGGGTCTCGGACAACGCAGTCGTTGTTGCCACAGTTGTCGAGCTCCCAGAAGTCCACATGGTCGTCGTGGACGTACTCCGTGCCACGGCAATTGTAGGACACGATGGCCCGTGCGACGTAGTTGTCCTGGTGCCACCGCAAGCAGACGTTCTCTCTGATGAGCTCCAACTTGAGAGACACCTGCGCTCGGAAACCTTTGCTTGGCGTTGTCGCGGCGCCGGACCCAGCGCCGCGCTGTTCAAGGGGCCCAAGGACACACCGATAAATGCACACCACATAACAGAACCCCCCCCCATATTTCCCCATATTCTCTGGGTTTCTGTCCTCCCCCCCCCACTGCCCATAGTTTCCCATATTTTCTGGGGCATCGACGATTCCTTGCGTCGGTGTGCTTCTTTCCCTCCCGAGCCGTGACCGCGCGAAGCGGACAGCGGGCCGCGCCAGCTCGGAGAGCTGCTGGCCCGGGTCCAGCCAGACCGGGGTTACATCGGGAGCGGCCAATGAGGGGGGCGTCCAAGAGGGGTGGGGGGTGCAAATGGGAGGTGTCCAAGAGGGGGGTGTCCAAGAGGGGGGTGTCCAAAAGAGGAGGGGGGGTCCAAGAGGGGGGTGTCCAAGAGGGAGGTGTCATGGCCGGCGGCATGTGCGCGGCCCAGCGGGGGGCCGGGGCCGCGTTCAAATAAGAAGAGGCGCCATGAAATCTGGGGAAGCATCATGCCCCCGCCATGATATCCACCCCCCCTAGTCATTACACCCCTCTTTTCTGCAGCCGAGGTTAGTCGGGCCTTGCAGGATCCTGCAAGATCCTCCTCCTCCTCCTCCCCCTCCTCCTCCTCCTCTTCCTCCTCCTCCTCCTCCTCTTCTCCTCTTCTTTTCCTCCCCCTCCTCCTCCTCCTCCTCTTCCTACTCGCCCTCCTCCTCCTCCTCCCCCTCCTCCTCCTCCTGCTTGGATAGCAGGGGCCCCGTCATCGACTCGGGGATAGCCAGGGCACTCCCCACTGGCGGAGCCAGTGGCGGTCGGCGCCGCCTGGTTCGGCGGGGTATAAGTGGAGCTCTCGTCGTCGCGGCCACCCACGTTGTGGGTGGTGGGTAGGCTGGGAGCCGGAGCACGGCCTCCGGCGCCCCCTACCCCGAGCAGGGCACGCGGAGCATGGCCTCCTTGCGCGCCCTGTCTCGCGCACGTTGGTCGGGCATGTTTCCTGTCTTGCCACGGGGGCATGGCCCTGACAGTTGACCCGCATTGGTGCGGACAGCACCGCATGGACGTCCAGTCCTGTGCGGTGTCGCGGGCAGCACCGCATGCATGACTTGTCCTGTGTGGTGTCCGTCTGGCAGTGCAGCGGCAAAAATCCTCCTCGTCCTCCTCCTCCTCCTCCTCCTCCTCCTCCTCCTCCGTCTCCTCCTCTTCCTCTTCCTCCTCCTCTCCCCCTGGGATCCATCCGTCTCCACAGGTTCGGAGGCGGGGCCCCGAGGGCCTCGGGCGCAGCCCCTGTGGCGCGCTCCGCGCCGCAAGGGGGGGGGGGATTTCCAGCGCAGGCCCACGAGAGCCGCGCGGATCCCCGAAAACGCATGTGTATGCGACTGCTCCTGGGAGCACAAAGAGCCGCCAACACCAGCAGAACTCCATGCAGTGGAGGCCAGTCCACAAGAAACCTTCCACAAGAAACCCAAACCCTGAGACCCCAGGGCGTCCATCCATTTGTGGTACGGGAACGTCACGCTGTTTATCGTAAAATGCATCGACACCCAGAAACCCAGGGCACCCTGGAGACAAGCAGGGTGTTTCTTGGCATGGGCCCCCACTGTAGGACTCCACTCCCAAGGGCCCCCTCCCCCCCGAGCTGGTGGCACTCCGTTCTGGGCGCTCTCGGGGGGCGCGGCCGGAGCGGGGTGCCACCAGCTTTTTGTTAGGGGGGGTTGGGCGGCCTGGGCCCCCTCTAGCTGGTGGTGGTGGTTCTGTCTTCGTTGGTGAGCTGTTCCTGCTTCGAGCTAACGCCTCTAATCTCGGTGAGCACGGATGGGCCCCGGGCGCGGAGCCTTGTCCGCTGTGGGGATCATCTCCGCGACGGCCACGCCCACCTTGCGGTGGCAACTCATGGGGGCCCCCCGTGCCACCTCGTTGGGTCTTGCGAATCAGCGCTAATCGACGCCAGTCGAGGCCAGTATGCGCCAAGTCGACGCGAATCGAGGTTCCATCGGAGCTTCCTCAGCGATGACCAGACGCTACCGCACGCCAGTGCTGCCATGATGTTGCTATTGAGCGCTTGATTGGACGCCCGAAGTGGGTACGGAAAGAATGGGCACGATGCCACGCAGCACAAGTCTTGTCCCAAACCGACAGCAGCCGCTGTTGGGCAGGCGGCCTCCTGTCTCAAATTGGCAAAGGCCGCGGCGACGCCGACAGCGAGAGCGGCCCCTGCTTAGGACGGACACGAACTTCGGCGGCGGGCGAGGGGGGGAAGAACAAAAAGAAAAACGCCTTCTAAAAGGCGGCAGGACTTCCCAGGAGCCCCCGCGTCTGCTGAAAGGTCTTCTGCGTCATCCTCCCCCTCCTCCTCCTCCTCCTCCTCCTCCTCCTCCTCCTCCTCCTCCTCCTCCTCCTCCTCCTCCTCCTCCTCCTCTCCTCCTCCCCCATCCTCCTCCTCCTCCTCCTCCTCCTCCCTACTCCCTCCTCCTCCTCCTCCTCCTCCTCCGCCTCCTCCTCCTCCTCCTCCTCCTCCTCCTCCTCCTCCTCCTCCTCCTCCTACCTCCCTCCCTCCTCCTCCTCCTGCTGCTGCTGCTGCTGCTCCTCCCCTCCGCCTCCTCCTCCTCCTCCTCTCTCTCCTCCTCCTCCTCCTCCTCCTCCTCCTCCCCCTCCTCCTCCTCCTCCCCCTCCTCACCCCTCCTCCTCCTCCTCCTCTCCTCCTCCTCCTCCTCCTCCTCCTCCTCCTCCTCCTCCTCTCTCCTCCTCCTCCTCCTCCTCCACCTCCTCCTCCTCCCCCTCCCCCTCCTCCTCCTCCGGGAAGGGTTAGCAGACTCGACGGAGGGCTGTGGAACTCCCGGAGCCTTCTGTGCAGGCCCGCGCCTCTTCGCTTTCCACCCCGGGCTCGCCGCCGACTCTGTTCCCATTGCTTCCGTGCCTGCATCGACCGTCCCGAGGCCTTGATCGGGGATCTTCTGACCCGGGTCAATCCAGACCCGGGTCAGCAGGAAATCAAAAACTGCAATGCAGGAAACAAGAACTGCAACGCAAATCTTCGCAAACCCGGATCAGCCAATATGCGCGGCCGCCTCGCGGCCTCGAGCGGCTCGCTAACCCAGGTCAGCCAGAGGGGTCTTCGCAGGATCCTGCAGGATCTGGCGCCGTGGCTGACCCCCGTTTGCATTGACCCCCGTCTCATTGCTACCGACTTGAGCAGGGACGGGCCGGCTCGGCATCCCTGCAGGCCTAGCACGAAACGTCCTCTTCGAACCTACAAATGTTCCAAGGGCGAAGGCAACTTTCTCAGAACCTATAAGGGGTTCTGAGAAGATTGCCTTCGCTCGTGAGGCTCCGCCGCGCCCGAGGTGCGAAGACAAACCGGCCCCGGCCAGGAATGCTCTGCGAACACCCCTCGTGCAGACCGCCAAAGAGGCTCTCAGAACGCTCGCCGGTGGGCCCGCACATCGGCAGGCCGGGACGCCCCGCCCCTGCTTGCCCGAGGCCTGCCTCCTCCGCGTCCCGCCGCACGCGCTCCAGGAGGCCGGCGGGGAGGCCGGAGCCGGCGAGGGGGGCGAGCAGCTGCGCGGCGGCGGCCCGGAAGGCGGCGGCCAGGGCCGTGCGCCCCCCGTCGCCGCGGGCCGCGCCGAGGGGGACGTCCGCCTGCACGGCGCCGTCCTCGGATCCGGCGGGGGGGGACAGAACTCATGGGCGCTGCCCCCCTTTTCTCCCCCCTCTCGTCATCACCGTCGTGGATCATCGTCTTCCTCAGCAGCGGCTTCCTCCGCAGCACCGTCTTCCTCCAGACCTTTCCCTTGCTCTCCTGGCGCGCGTCTGGCGCGTCGGAAGATTGGCATCGTCGTCGTCATCGTCATCATCAGAGGGAAAAATGAATGAACACTCCGCTGGAGACTTCCTGAGGATCGCGCCGCATCGCCGGTGCATCGGCGATGCATTGCCGATGCATCGGCGATGCACCTGCGACGTCGGCGCTGCATCGGCGCGTTGCGAAAATCGGGCTCCACATCGAGCCGCATCGCCGATGCATCGGCGATGCGGCGCGATCCTCCGACACCATCTTCTCCGACCCCATCTAGGAGGCCTAGAACTCCCCCTTTCTTCAAACATTCGAAGTTGGCACGTGTGGGGAAAGCCGCGCTCGAAGTGCAAGTCATCAGACCTTCCGCCAACATTGAGCATGGGGGGAGTGGGACACTGACAGCCGAGGCCTGTAGGCCACAACAGACGTACGCGCCCAACTACGTACATAAATACGGCCCCCCCGTCCGGAAGACAAGCCTCGTGGGACGAACGTGCGCGCAATGCGTACTTTAGTGGAAACCAATGAAGGTGAGAGGGAACATGTACGTGCACGTCCTTCTTTTGCTCCATTAGAGGAAAGAGAAGAACTTGTGGTTATACGATTTCCATCGCCAGACAGGCTCGCGGCGTAACAACAACAGCAACAACAACACCGCCCACGCCACCACCGCTGCCATCGGGAACCATACCAATAACGACAACAGAAACAGCAGCAGCAACAACAACAATAACAACAACAGCAGCAACACCACCAACAACCTTAACAACAACAATCATGTTACTCTCATGCGCGATGTTTCCACACGAAGCATGCGACCATCATGATAACCATACACGCAATGCCATCATGACAACCATACACGCAATGAGGGACTCTTGTTCTATAGCGGGGTCCGTTATTCCCATTCCCAGATCTCCCGCCCAATGAGGTCTTGCAAACACCTCGCCTTGCTGCACCGATGCGAGACCGCCAGTGGAACCCCAGCGAAGGGTAAAGCACAAGGACGTATCGAACGACAGGGTTCCCTTGGTGGGGATGTGGGCTGTCGGCGGTGAGGCAACGACCTGGCCCTGAATAGAGAGGGGGAAGTCTCGAGCAGAGCTGCCGTTGTTGTTGGGAGCGGCGCCAATGCTGAAGAGAGTAGGGCGCTAGTCCAGCGTAAAACAAAACGAAGTCTCGAGCGGGAGCGCTGGTGTTGTTGGGACTGCGGCTTTCGGCGGCAAGGAAAAACACCGCCTTGAGTAAGAAAGGAGGAAGGAAGCATCGAGCGGGAGCCGTGGTTTTGTCGGGACGGGGGCTGTCGGCGGCGAGGAACAGCACCGTGCCGAGGAAAAAGGGAGGAAGCCTCGAGCGGGAGCGTTGTTCTTGCTGGGAGCGCCGCCAAGTCAAAAGAGAGTTGGGCGCCACTCCAGCGTAAAAAGGAAGGAAGTCTCGAGCGGGAGCACTGGTTTTGTCGGGGCGGCGGATTTCGGCGGGAGCCTCGAGCGGTAGCGTTATTTTTGCTGGGGGCAGCGCCGATGAGAGAAAGACGAGCGCGCCAGTCCAAGGTAAAACGGGAGGGAGTCTCGAGCGGGAGCGCTGGTTTTGTTAGGACGGCGGCTTTCGGCGGCGAGCAAGAACACCAGCCCTGAGTAAAAAAGGGGAAGCCTCGAGCGGGAGCGTTGTTGTCGTTGGGGGGCCGGTTTTGGCGGTCCCCCAAACCGCTCGAGCGTGAGCCTCATTTTCAATGAAAGTGTAGCCGGAGCATCGGCGAGAGCGCCAAAGCGCCTTTAAGGTGTCCAACAACAGTAATTGTTCAATAATTAACATTCAACAACAACGCCAACAACAGCAACAGCAACAGCAACAACACTCACACTCATTTAAACGGTTGTTCGTCGCTCGCGCCTCTGGAAAGGGCCCTTACTGGGCCCCAGGGCCCCTCGAAAATTACGACTCAGGGTGAAGAGCTGGTCCCAGGAAAAGGAGTCGGGACATTTGGGGACCGCGTATGGAACAACACATCAGGACATCGCATGTCCGGGCATAGCAGTCCTTACGTCGATGGCATTGAAGAAGGAGTTATTGGAGAAAGAATCAAAGGTCTGGAAGCTGGTGGAACTCCAGCTGATGCTTGGCTGATTATGGATAGCACCGCCACCCTCATCAAATAAGGAATCCTGCAAAGACTGAAACCTCCTGGGCCCCAAGTACGGGTAACGCTTGGGCCTGGTGGAGCACGGCGGGGCGGGGGAGCGATGCAATCGCCATATTCTGCGCGTGATCACCAGCCTGTGGGGGGGGGGTCCAGGTTCACTCCGCTGATTACGTGCGACCCTTACCGCTGCCTGTGGAGGAGGGAGGGGGGGGGGTGACCCAGGTAGTAACCCTCACGCGTCAGAAGAACAAAATAACAGTCCCAAAGCGGCAGAACATAATGACTTTCGGAGCTCCACACGGATTTCCTGGATCGGCGCTGGCGCGCGGAGCGCGCCAGGCGCAGTGCTGGAGGCGCCGCCGAGGGGGTCCAACACCGATCCAAGAAATCAACGCGGGTCTCGGAAATATTATGCTTTGCTGGTTCCTGTTCGCCGGAGAACCGATGTGATTTCGCGGCCCAAAGGGTGTCGAGCAGGTCCCTCAGTGCAAATTCATATACGCCTGATGGTCCCAGAGCCCGATACTTAGCCGCCTCCAGATGCCGAAATCGAGGACAGACCCCCGGACTGACAAGAACCGCATCGTCGGAGATGTGGGTCGAGCTCCTCCCCGAGCGCGCCCGCGTCGTGGAGACCGTCCACGGTGTCCTGGATGCCCCAGGCCTGCGGCCTCACCTGCCGCGGGGGAGGCAGGAGGCAGGAGGAGGAGGAGGAGGAGGAGGAGGAGGAGGAGGAGGAGGGAGGAGGGAGGAGGAGGAGGGAGGAGGAGGGGGAGAGGAGGAGGAGGAGGAGGGGGAGGGAGAGGAGAGGAGGAGGAGGAGGAGGAGGAGGAGGAGGAGGAGGAGGAGGAGGAGGAGGAGGAGGAGGATCGAACAAAAAGGGCCACGCCGCCAGGCCACGCCCCGGCCGAGGGCCGCCCCGGCGCCCCGGAGGAGAGGGTGCAGGCCGGGCTCCTGGCCTCGCCCACGGGGGCCTCCACGCACCGTCCTCTGGGGCCCGGGATGGGCGGGCTGCTCTTCGATCGCCAGATCCTTCCACCTCGGCCGACTCCTTGGCCACCCGCGGCGTTCAGCCTGGAACGCCCGTGGCGGGGCCGCCGCCGCGTCGCCACGGCGCGACGCTGCCGCAGCGGTGGTGGAGCGTGCGCAGGGTCGCGGCGAAACGCTTCTGGCAATTGTCGGCCCCCAGGGGCCCTTACAGGGACCCCGGGGCCGTCGCAAGTAGAGGCCTCCTATAGATGGGGTCCGAGCAGATGGGGACGGAGGATCGCGCCGCATCGGCGATACATCGCTGATGCATCGGCGATGCACCGGCGACGTCGACGATGCATCGGCGACGCCAGCGTGAAGCAAATCGGGCTCCACATTGAGCCGCATTGCCGATGCATCTGCGATGCGGCGCGATCCTCCGACCCCATCTTATCCGACCCTATATAGGAGGCCTAGAACAAGCCGAATCCGGATAAAACGAGTCGGTCCGGGGCAATGGGGCCGAGACGCCTGGAGGGCAACGTTCTGAAACTACACCGTTCGACGCTAAGGTTAGGTCGGGCATGTCCCCCTACAGGCAGATGTTGGAGGGAAAATGAAGAATTGTCAGACAAACATTTCAAAACAATAATTGCATTTAAAAATCGTGCTCTGACTATTTCTTACGATTTTTGAATACTCTTCGTGTAGAGGGACGTGCCCGACTTAAGGGTATCCACGAGCGGCGAACACGTCCTCATCCGCGCCCTCGCGGTCTGGGCTCCGGGGGCGCGATGCCGCGGGTGCGCGGTCGCGCGCCCACGTTCCGCGTGGGGCAGCCGCGCTAAACAAAAAATAATCAAAAAAACACGCCCCGCATCCGCGGGGTCGCGGCCCAGCCGCCCCGCCGGTGAGGCCGCGGAGGAGGACGTGTGTGCCTCATCCAGGAGGTATAGCGGCGCTCCGTGGATCGCCGTCCGCATGCCCTTGAAGCCGTCGCACCCGGCGTCGAGCCAGTCCTGGACGCTCCCGCCCTCGGCGACAGCGTCGAGGCGGAGAGGCCTCGGACGCGGCCGCGCCGCCCGCTGCACTGCCGAGGACTGCACCTGAGATGCGATCGGGAGGTTTCGCTTGGCGTGTCGCGGCGGCGGCGGCCCTGGCGACACGCTGTGCCTTGCGAGCTGATAGCGTGTCGCTCCGCCCCGCGGGGCGGGAGAACGGGAAAAGCTGATGACGTGGACGCCTGGAGACTGGGACGTGGATAGCGTGCGGAGGTGAAGCGCGGTGGGTCGGAACCTGCGGCGCGACATGCCAAGCCAACGCTCCTGACCGTATCCCCCCCAACGTTGCCCTTGGCCTTCGATTCTTAGCTCGGCTCTCTGGCGGCCGTTCGCGGGAGGTCCTGGCACCCACGGCACGCTCTCGGCGAGGCACAGCCGTTGGAAGGCATCCCGACGACCGGAGACTCGCCGAGACCCGACGCCGGCGCGCGAGAACCCCAGACCTCGACACGCCAAGCCGAAGTTCCCGAACCGCACACGGGCCAGCCCCCCAAAATCCGAGGGCCCCAGGGCGCCCGACGTCGCGCCTCGCGCCGCCCGCCGCGCGGCGAGCAGCTGGCTGTCGCGCCCTCGCGCCGCCCTCGCGATGGGCGCGGCCGCCCTCCCGGCCCTGCGGGCGGCCGGGCACAACGCCAGCACACTCCACGTCGTTGTGTTGGGCGCCGCAGGCCCCACATTTGGCGGGGCCCACCTGCAGAGATTGTGGGGCCCTGTTGGGCCTCCCCCACGTGGGCCAGGTCCGGCCAGGTACAGCCTGCCTCTGCAGCAACTGGAGACGCCCCCACGGTCGTGAGCTTTTGCTCAGCGTGTCGCGGCGGGCGCCCGTCCCCCGTCCCTTTCGCGAGGCCTCCAGAAGGCTCTGGAGGCCTCTGGACGTCCCCGGAGGCTTCCGGAGGTCGCCCTGACGCCCCGCGCGGAGGGGGGTGGGCCCCAGACGCCCCCCGCAGGGCCGTTTGAGGCCTCCTGCAGGGCCCGGACGATGGCAGAACCTACCAAAAGCCTGGACCCTCGACCCTCCCCGTGAAGAATCTAACGGGCACCGATGCCGCCGCTCCCGGGCCCCTCTCGAGATCTCGGGGGGCGCGACCGGCGGAGCTTTCTCCGAGGCGAGCCCGCCCGTGGCGACGACGAGGGCCCCCTCGCGGGAGGCCCACGCGGAGGCGCAGGCGAGGGCCCCAGCAGCAGCCTCGCGGTGCGGTCGCCACGCAGCGGGCAGAGCCGGCGAGGGCCCGAAGGGGGGGGGAAGGGCCGGAGAATGCTGTAGTTCAGCGCGGGGGCCCGGTGGGGTTCTCAGATGGGGTCCGGGTGGGGGCCCGAGGGGGGGGGGAAGGGCCGGAGAGCGCTCGAGGTCGGCGCGGGGGCTGCAAGAGCGGCTGGTGGGGTTCTCAGTGGATCCCACTCCACGGAGGCCTCCCAGATGCGGTCCGGGTGGGGGCCCAGAGAGGGGGGGGGGAAGGGCCGGAGAGCGCTGGAGGTCGGCGCGGGGGCTACCGAGCGGCTGGTGGAGTTTTCAGTGGATTCCACGGAGGCCTCCCAGAAGGGATCCGAGAGGACGGGGTCGGAAGATCGCATGCACCGCATCGCCAATGCATCGGCGACGTCGCCGTGAAGCAAGTCGGGCTCCACCTCGAGCCGCGTCGCCGATGCCTCGGCGATGCGGGGCGATCCTCCGGCCCCATGCGCTCCGACCCCATCCGAGGGGGCCTGGATCCCAAGGTCGGGGGTACCTGGCCCAACCTGGCGCAGAAGTGGGTCACGCATGCCCCAAGCGGCTCACGGGGGACGTACATTGGGCGGCGGCCATCGGCAGAAAGTGTGGGACCCTATTGAGATGCCCACATGTGGTCTGGGTCAGGCCACTTAGCGTGCCGCGGCTGCGGCACCAGCGACACGCTATGCCATGCGCGCGGATCGCGTGTCGCTGCGCTCCGCGGGGCAGAGGCTCGGAACAGCTCGGGACGTGGACGCTCGGGGACCGGGACGTAGATAGCGTGTCGCGCCTGAGCCTTGCAGGCCAGACTGCAGCGGCGCGACACAGGCTGTCCACAAAAATTCCCTACCGCATCTCCTGGGCGCCCCGCCGCGCCGATCCGGACGGTGGCCGTGCCGAGCGCCTCCCGGCGCCTTGTCTCACGGAGCATCGGTGACTCCGGCGAAACCCGAGGGAAACCGAGCCGACGAGGGAGCCGAAGAGGAAGACGAGCACCAACTTCAGGGAAATGCTCGGGACGTGGGCGCTCGGGCACGACGGGGGCGTGGATGGCCACTTTCCACCACCACGACCACGGGCAGGAGAGGAGGAGGAGGAGGAGGAGGAGGAGGAGGAGGAGGAGGAGGAGGAGGAGGAGGAGGAGGAGGAGACCAGCCCCTTGCCTCTCCCGGCGCCTGCTTGGTGCTCCCGCGCGCCCGGGCCCTGGCCGTGCGGCCTGCGGCCGGGGCGCGCGAGGGCTGCGGGCGAAGCGACGCGGTCATGTGGGCGCGGGCGGCGCGTCCGGCAGAGCGGCAGGGGCTCCCGCGGGGCTCCTTCCTGCTCCTCGCGGCTGCGGGGTGGTGCCGAGGGGGGGAGGTCACTCCTCCTCCTCCTCCTCCTCCTCCTCCTCCTCCTCCTCCTCCTCCTCCTCCTCCCTCCTACCTCCTCCCCCCCTCCTCCTCCTCCTCCTCCTCCTCCTCCTCCTCCTCCTCCTCCTCCTCCTCCTCCTCCTCCTCCTACCGGGGGGGGGGGTCGCCACCTCTCCGCTCGAGGAAGCGCCCCGTTCCTCGAGGAGCCTGGCCACCGAGGGCACTCCTCCAGCGCCTGCCACAGCGGGGGCTCGACCACAAGAGGCCTTCCACGAGGAACCCAGCCCTGGACCCCCAGGACGCCCCTCGATGTCTGGGTGTGGGAGCGCCACGCGCTCCATGGCACACCATCGAGGCCCGAGAGACCCAGGGCACCCTGGAGGCAAACAGGGTGCTTCTTGCCGCGGGCTTCCCACTGTAAGGCGACCGAACCAAGCGTCCAAAAACCTGCGCAGGGGTCCTATCAGAGAGCCGGTGACCCCCCCGCGGTGGCGGCGCGCCCTGGAGCTGCCTGAGCGGCGGCCAGCGCGAGCTGAGCTTCGAGTCGGGACTTGCGCCAGGGCGCGCGCTTCAAGCCAAACGGGCTCGGAAGAGGGCGGTGGGCGAGCGGAGACGGCTGAAGACGGCATCAAGATACCTCCAGCATTGCCCCGCGGAGCCCCAAGAGAGGCCCTCGAGAGGGCAAACACACAGCGGAACTCAAAGATGGTGCCAATGCGTGTTGTCTGTCCCATCTCTTGCTACGAGGATGCCCAAGTTTCGCTTCAAAACGGCCCCCGGATCCCCTGAGTGTGCCCCAAGACAGCCCGGAGGTGGCACCCCAGAGGCCCCCGAATGCCACCCAAATCTTCCAGAATGGCCCGACATCGTTGCAGCATCGCCCAAGTACGTCCCCAAGATGGGTGGGCGTCAAGATAGCAATAAGAGTACCCGAGATCGCCCGAAGATGGCCTCAGAGGCTGTAAACCAAATGATGGCATAAGATGCCCCCCCAAAAAAGAACCGCCCCAAAATAACTGCACAGTGGCTTAGCGGGGCTGGCGGCAGCGGGCACAGCCCTGGCCCTACCCCCACCAACCACCGACTCTCCCGAACCGATGGGAGGTGGGGGTAAGATGGTAGGCTTCGGATTTCGCCACACGCTTGACGACTCCTGAGCCCTACCCCCGCCGCCCATCGGGATGCCTGAATGATCGGACCCACCAGCGGCCCGAGTCGTGCCACTTCGCGCCCGCCAGCGACGCCGCGGAGAGGCCAACGCTCAGCGCACGCGGCGGCGGGAGGACGGGCAGGACGCGGGCAAAAGGCGGAGCGGGGCCCAAAGAACCCGCCCGATGGGTCGAACCTGATCGACCCCAGCACTGAAGCAACGGGAGCACCAGCGGACACCAGCAGGGCCGAAGCTGGGCCACGCGGAGAGTCAGCAGGGCCGACGGCCCCTTGACTGCGATCGGAATCGCGCCCCCACGCAGGGGGCTGTTTTCCCCCGTTTTCAAGATCGACGTTTTCGTTCCGCTTGTTTTGGGTGCGGTGGTTGTCGGTTCGTGGCCCGCCTGGTCGTTTCCTGACCGTTTGCAACAGGTGGTCATGATGCCGCTTGCCTGGTGCCCACACTCGACGGTGCCGTCTTTCGAGCGGCTGGGTGAGCCAAGAGCGACGCGCTGGAAGCAGGAACGACGCGCTCCCAGTGCTTGTCAGATCACCTAGGGTCCCCCACCCCCGTTCTCGCCTCCTCGTGAGGGGAGAGGGGGGGGGGGAGGAACGCCCATGCCTCCCACGAGGGCGCGCGCGCAGGGCGGCCGACCAAGCGGCCGTCAGCGTGGGGAGGTGGGAGGAGGAGGAGAAGGAAGTGGGAGGAGGAGGAGGAGGAGGAGGAGGAGCAGGAGAAGCGGGAGGAGGACGCAGAACGAGGTGGAGAAGGACACGGAGGAGGGCAGATAATCCGAGGAGGAGGAGGACACCACAGGATAGGGCAAGACCAACGACGATGCCGTGCGAGGCTTCAGCTCCAGGTGCTCGCGGGCGAACTCGGGGATAAACAGACCTCCCTTTAGCAAAACGTGAGTTAGTGAAAACGGCCTGAGGCCAAAACCTGGCGGGCGCAAGCCTGGAAAATCACGGCCGCGGCGCCCTCTCGAGCACCGAAAACGGACAATTCACAAATCGACGTGTCACTATTGGGGGTTCTGTCCGCCCCCGAAGGACGCCCCCGACCCAGGCGACCGTGGAGGAGCGCCGCCGTGCGGCACATCGCGCTCGAGCTCCGCGCGCTCGCGGGCGGCGGCCCGGAGACTTCAGGCAGGAGAGGACACGAGCGCGGCGGGCACAAGGGGGGTGGCGCGAGGAGGCGCCCTTGTATGAACGCGGAGCGCTCCTAGGAGGCAGGGGTCTTCCTGCAGAAGCGCCTGGGTTCTCCCGAGAAGACGTCTTAGAAGCTCGGCGGGCTTCTCAGGAGCCACCTGTGATCTCCGAAGCCCTCGGCGCCTTCTCGGAAGCCTGCCCCTTTGTGGGCCCCGGAAACGGCAGGGCCGTTTTTTCACCGTTTCCGAAAAAAGTCCTTTGAAACTGGGAACGGCAAAACAACGGCGACCGGAAACGGCGAAAGAACGGCTCCAGGATTGGAACCGGAGCCAAAACTGGTCAAAGCGAAGGCGACGGAACCGGTAAAAAACGGCGTCGAAACTGCCAAAAAAACGGCAAAACGGAACCGGTAAAAAAACGGCGCTGTCGTTTCCGGGGCCCACTAAGGGAGAGGACACGATCGCCACCTCGGCCAAAACTCAACTGGTTTGCCAGACGAAGCAAGCCGCGTGCGTGCTGAGGGTGGCCGCCTCCAGAAGAGGTGGAAAGAAGCCGCACAGGCCGCCAGCCGCACGTTCCTGCTCGCGCAGAGGCCAAGTCGCCGCAGCACAGGAAGCAATGATCTGAAGTCGCGTGTCCTGACACAAAGGGGGACACGCTCGCCACAAACGGCAACACATCAAGGATCCGCAGCCAAAGCGGCGCGCATTGTAATTGGCTCCGGTGGGGAAGTGTCGGGATACTTGGCGGTCCTGGCAGCAAACCAGCGGATCCATCTGGGCTGGACCTCAGAATCCGACCCTTACACTCGCGGGACCCAAAGCCCTTATCGAGCTTCGTCAGTTGCTTGTCGCGCCCACTGGCCAGTCAAGGCGCGCCCGCCACAATTGTAACAATTCCGCATCCTGTCAGCAGGAAGAGCCCCCTTGCATTCCAGACGCGCAAAGTGCCACCTCTCGTTCTTTCTACATAGCACGGGACATTGTTGCGTGGGTGCAAGAGGCGTACTGGGGCGGACGAATGTCTGAAAACATCGGAATCGTTGATGCTGGCAGTCTCGTTGCTCTCTCTGGACGCAAGAGGGCCGACTGGGACCTTACTGCGGCCTGTGGGGGTGCTGAGCTGCTGCGGCGAAGATTGCCTGCCGACATCGGACTCCCTCTTCAGAGGTATTGAAACAACCCTACGTCAAGCTCTTCCCACTTCGCGAAGCCTGATGGGGAACCTGATCCGCGCGCACGCTCTCCTGCGCTTTGAATGTTCGCCTAATCCAGAAAGGCCCTTGGCTCGACGGAGTCCCTCGGTGCCGAACAGAGAGGAGAACGATACCTCACTCGTGACTGACATTTTTGCTCCGAAGACTCGGCGGTGGCCTCACGTGTAGCCTCGTTCTTTGCTGGCGCCCAAGAACCGTGATAAACAAGAGGCTTTGGAGAAAAGGTCGCCCTACTGAAACTCTCGTGGTCTGTCCCATCCTGGTCAACACCTACGACCGTGAGTTTCGACCCCTTCCGCAGCGAAAGCGGTGGCCTCTCACTAGCCTGTGGCGCGATTCCTAGCACAAGAAGAAACGATCCGTGATTGCTAATTCCCGAAGGCGTGGCGCTCGGCGGGAAAGGCAAGTCAGATTGCGCAGCGCGAGAAGGAGCACGTTACATACATGTCCTCATGGTGCGTGCCGCAGGGAATCCAAACCAGAGTGCCACACTGCTACCAGGGTCCACAACAAAAATCAAATCCAGCATGAGTTGCGCAGGCAGCCCCAGGCCATCCCAACAATCCACGGGGGGGAGGAAGAAACTTGCACAGACCGAAGCCCTTGCTGAACAACTGATTATAGTACCGCCTTGCTACATATTGGCGAACGCGTCGTGTCCGCAATCCTTCTCGCACCGGGGGGGGCTTGGCACCGCGCAATCTACAGCTGCGGAAGCACCGCCCCGAATGCAACATGTCAACGGCTCGGGCTAAAAGATCTGCTGCGCACTTCGCTCAGTACCTCATTCAGGGGGATGCTCGCCGCCACCAGGGGCCTGGGACTCTGAAGACCGATTGCTACAAGACTGCTCGGCCCTCGGCTCGCGTTTCCCACGCTGCCCGTAAGCGTGCAAGGTGCTGCGCCCCCCTGAATGTGAAGGGGCCCTGGGACACATAAATACATACACAAAAATAACGGGATTCCCCATATTATCCAATCTTTTCTAGGTTGTTGTCTTCCCCCCCACTTCCCGTATCTTCAATTTTTTCCTGGGGGTCGACGATTCATAATGTCTGTGTGTTGCTTTCCCCTCCTGCGAATGCAGGGCCTGCCTTCTGTCGTTGCTGGCCCGACCAAGCGCGCGAGGAAGCCACTCCCCGGACCAACAACAACAAAAAACCGAAGCACTGCGTGGGCCGAGGCCGCTCTCGGGAGGGCGGCGACGAAGCAGTGAAGCACGCGGCCCACCTGCCAGGACCATCGCCAACTTGCCGCTGGTGGGGAAGGGGGCGGAGATCGTCTTTGCAAGACCGCTGCGCTGGCGGTCGGGGTAGACCGCGTCGCCGCTGCGTGAGACGCTGGACGATGAAGCACCGCTGCCTCGAGTGAACCTATGGCCGACGTGGCTCCTGAG